TCTCATTCGCTTTTGAAGATACAAGTTCTAAAACCTACTTCACTGTGTTTGTTATAACCGTTTTCAGGTGAGTCAAGTATTTTAATTATTCAAAGTTAATATGTTTCTTTCATTATTTTATTCAATTGAATCATGAAACTTCGTAAAGTTTCGTTTCCATTTCATTTAGTAAGTTGAAATTAAATATCTATGAGTTCTGCAAGTAAAGAAGTTAAGATCAAATTGTTGTTTCTCGATCAGTGTAAATAGATGTATATATGTTAAAAAAAAAGGTTGGTTTATTCTACACAAACTTTCTGTACTCAAGGGTATTTTTAAACGCGTTATAAAATTTAGTTTTACGCTCGCATGTTGGAAAGGATAATTTAACTTATCGCTTGTTCATACTTAACAGGGGCGGATCCAGGAATTTGTCAGGGGGTGATCACCTTTTGAAATCTTAAATTAAAATTCAATTTTTTTTATTGATATCATGAAAATAGTTACAACTATAGAATACACAAGTTACACATGATTTATAAAATTGATTCTAATTTCATTTTTCTTGGATGTCTGCGTGCAAACATGTCAACGATCACATCAAATCCTAAATCTAAATTGAAATGCACGTGCATCAGTGCAAGTCTATTTAGTCGATCCTGGCCCATTGTTGCACGTAAAAATGTTTTTAGTAACCCGAGCTCACTATTCGAACGCTCACATTCACAACTTGTTACACTCATTGTGCAAACAATTTTGAGAATAGCATAAATGTTCGGATAATCAAGTTTGTTGCATTTCATAATGGTTTCAGCAGCTGACTTTGGCAATGTATCTTTGGTATGTTTCCAGAAATGCAACCACCTATCTACTTCCGAAGAAATTCTACATGGACTAGGCAAGTCAGAGTTATAAAAATCAAGAAACGGTTTAAGGTTCTATGAACAGAGTCCCCAGACTCTACACGGAAGTCAATCAGTGCTTGAAAATTCCCGGAATTGAAACTTCTGTCCGAAACATGTTTTGCATCATCCCTATGGCCCCTTAATGGAAGATTGTGCTTGCCACAAAGCAAAACACACTTACATATAGATTTCAAAACAGTTCTGTTTGCTTTTATACGTTCATTCATTACTCTATCAATAAATGTTTGCATATCAGTAGTCCTTTGCTCAATGTTGTCAAGAAAAAGTTGAGCTTTTGCTCTAGCTTCAGTATTACTTTTTTTACATGATTTTTCATCACGGCCGAAATGATCGTTAAGTCTTGTACTTGCATGTGCCATATCTGTTAGTTGTTTGCATGATAATGTCCCCAAATTATCAACCCCTAACAGAGCATAGTATATGCAGTAAGCTCCTTCTTTTGAAGCTGAGTACACTAGCCCATCATAGCGATTCAGTCAATTCAGCTGAAACAGTCTGTTCTTTCCTGCATATATTTTTATGTGAAAGTTATAAAATTGAGAATGGAAATGGGGAATGTGTCAAAGAGACAACAACCCGACCATTGAGCAGACAACAGCCGAAGGCCACCAATGGGTCTTCAATGCAGCGAGAAACTCCCGCACCCGGAGGCGTCCTTCAGCTGGCCCCCTATAGTGTATTCCAGGTTTGAATTTTCATGATAATGTCCCCAAATTATCAACCCCAAACAGAGCATAGTATATGCAGTAAGCTCCTTCTTTTGAAGCTGAGTACACTAGCCGATCATAGCGATTCAGTCAATTCAGCTGAAACAGTCTGTTCTTTCCTGCATATATTTTTATGTGAAAGTTATAAAATTGAGAATGGAAATGGGGAATGTGTCAAAGAGACAACAACCCGACCATAGAGCAGACAACAGCCGAAGGCCACCAATGGGTCTTCAATGCAGCGAGAAACTCCCGCACCCGGAGGCGTCCTTCAGCTGGCCCCCTATAGTGTATTCCGGGTTTGAAATGATTTCTTATCAAATTAAATTTCTCTTCGTTTGTTAATATACGTGTTGATTGCTTTACAAAACCAATGTCGTTTGTACTTATATGTAAGTCGGGGGTTGTTTATTTAATCTGATCACTTTTGTTCGTATCAATGCTAGGTCCATTACAAGTCGTTGGTACTTCAGAGGGGCTGATTTGTGGCGTTTCCTGAAGGAAAGAGGGTATAAGTTACTAAAAAATTGGAATGATCGGAACTTTTAGACAAACAGATGATAGAAACGGGGGTATTCAATATAGAATATTTATGTGACTTAAAAACTTTAAAATTATATTTGAATTTTGGCACCACAGTAAAAAAACATTATTGGTCGAGAAAAGTTATTATACAAACTTTAAAAATTTAGATAAACGTAATGTAAAAAGTATGAATTACCTGCTAAAAACATCTAAGATTGAGGACTGTCTCTTCATTTTTACACCTTAACATCGAAGAAATCGACCAAGTAATTAGCGATCGTTGATGACATGTTCATTGTGTAAACATACATGTCAAGGTACATGTATTTCGTCTTAAGGTAAGTAATGACAACTTTATGACTGGTGATTACGATAGAAAAATTGATTTAATCAAAGAATTTGTTTTTCAAAATGTTCAAGGTTCACAATTTTTGGGTACATGGTGCACCATTTTTGCAAACCCAGGGGGTGGTCACCGGCACCGGGTGACCACCCCCTGGATCCGCCTCTGCTTAATAAGAATTAAGGTCAGTTCCGCAAGGATAAGATGTTGATTATGTAATAAACGCGTTATGCGTAATTTTCACATGTGAAGGTTAATTTAATAAGTAATTATTTATCGTAAACTATTCTTGTCGTTTAGTCCTATATTATTACGAGTTATGAATTTTTTATACAAAGCAAGCATATATATTTAAAAAGCTAGTTTCCCCATTTCATATTATATTGTTTAATATTTATATTATTTGAATATTCACGATTAGTTTCGTAATGATAAGTTTGTCTCGATTTCGAATATTTCTCAACCAATGCTCATTGTCGGAATTGATTATAGGTTTTATATAGTTTAAGTTTTTACAAGCGCAATATTTGCTCTACCATGTTTATAATTCGAAAGATAAAAGAATTCAACATGTTTATTCATGTCCATTGTTTAGATATTATGCATTCAATACTTTATGCTGTTCAGCACATTCTTTATGCTCCGTTAGGTTCAAATATTAGGTCTTGCATTATGCTCATACATTTAAGATTTAGTCCGCATCTTGCTCATATATTTGAATGCTAAATAAGCTTTTATTTATAAGAAATATTATAAGCATCCGTGTTCGTCAGTTAAAATGCATATGCTCATGCATTAACGTAAAGTGTGTGTACCAAAGATATTAATTGATCAATTATATTGTAAAATTATATGAATTAGATGTTTCTATTATTTGCATTATATACTATTATATTGTTATTAATTATACATGACTTTCTCATGCGCTTTTGAAGATACAAGTTCTAAAACCTACTTCACTGTGTTTGTTATAACTGTTTTCAGGCCCTTACTCATCCCCCTAAGTCCGTAAGGTGTGCTGTTGGTAAAGTCCAACTATAACAGTCAAACAACAGACCATACAACCCAGTAACCCAAATCTGATAATAGGCCGATTTACACAGCGAATGTGAACCAAATTTTGCAGAAAGTAATAAAGCATGAGAGATCCTTTAACGAACGATGCTCGTTTGTTTCATATCGTATGAAAGACCTAATCCGATCATAAGAGGCTTTCTTTGATATAAAAAAAACAAATCCTCTCGTTTTAGTCCCTGACACCATTAGGCATCAGGGCTGATATGCATGAAACTACTAGTACTTGAGCTAAGATTTGTTCCGATCGGACGTAATTTTCTACATATCATACGATAAATTAGTACTACAATCGGATATCTTAATTAAAGAACCTTAGTGAGCGCGCTCACATACCCCACGTCCCCACATTGTCATTGGAGAAATAAAATAAAATCAAGAAAAAAAATTGTATCAGAAAAAAAAATCGAATCATAATTTCCTGTCAATATGCACATCTACATAGTATGTCCTTATTATCTACACAGTTTCATGAAATTCTGTTGTGTGGTTTGAGAGGAGTTGCGATGACAAAAGGTTGCAGTAGTATATTGGGAAAATAAGTTCAAAGGGGCGTAACTCCTGGAAAAAAAATTGAATCGTAATTTCCTGTCGATATGCACATCTACGTAGTATGTCCTTATTATCTGAAAAGGTTTCATGAAATTCTGTTGTGTGGTTTGAGAGGAGTTGCGATGACAAAAGGTTGCAGTAGTATATTGGGCAAATAAGTTCAAAGGGGCGTAACTCCTGGAAAAAAAATTGAATCGTAATTTCCTGTCGATATGCACATCTACGTAGTATGTCCTTATTATATATCTGAAAAAGTTTCATGAAATTCTGTTGTGTGGTTTGAGAGGAGTTGCGATGACAAACTGTTGCAGTAGTACATTAAAGTAAATAAATTCAAAGGGGCGTAACTCCTAGAAAAAGAATTGAATCGTAATTTCCTGTCGATATGCACAACTACATAGTATGTCCTTATTATTAAAAAAGGTTTCGTGAAATTCTGTTGTGTGGTCTGAGAGGAGTTGCGATGACAAGAAACAGGACTGACGGACTGACGGAATGACGGACTGACGGACGGACGGGTCAAAAACATTATACCCTCCGCAACTCGTTGCGTGGGATATAATTAAAGTGGTTGTATGCATAATAGCCCAGACCGTTAAACTTTCACATATATATGAAGCAAACTTTGTTTATTGATGTTGACGTGGTATGCTTATGGGTTGGTATACACAACAATTTATTTATGGAGCGAATATATTTTTCGATATCTTTCATTCATTTTTTATTTGCCTTTAAAGGTCACCACTAAACAATTCCGTGGCATTGTTGTTTTTTTTTTTTATTATTATCTTTGATTGCTCCATTTCTTTCCCTTCTGTCCATTATGTTTCATTTGGTTTTATTTCGTTTCACACTTATAAAATTCAACACTACGTAATTTGTGAAAAGGACCATTCTAAATGGATGAAACTACAATGGTAAAAACAATTTTCAATATAATCAGCTATTAGACGGCAAGTTTTTTAAAAAAGCTACTATTTTATAAACTACACCATAACGGTCAATTACCGGCGATCAGTCAGGTCAACATATGGAACATGCTAAGGTCAGTACATTCATAACATCCAGGTAAGTTTTACTAACAATCTAACTTTTATCTGTCAGTTAATCAATATTTATGCAAATTAATGATAATGATTTTCATTGGATGAAACTAAACCGATAAAGAATTTTTATAATATTTTAAACTCAAATGTTTCATTCACTGTAAACTTTACCATTCCATTCACTTATCTGTAAAATTCAGGTTAATTATATACAAATTGTACGACCTAGTTATCTATATTATATAAACGTGTAGAAATAGCAAAATATGACGTCAGCAGTTGTGTGTATACGATATAAATATACATAAATTACAACATGTACAATAAAACATTGTTTATATTTGTATTGAATAAACACCAAACATGTTATGTACACTTTTTATAGGTGTTATAATACTTCATACCAGTTTAATTGTGAAATACATTTATATAGAATCTATATTTTTGTTTTATATAGTTAATTAAAAATTCCAAAATATTGTGACAAGAAAATTAACTGTCTTAAGGGAACAACCATTTAACTTCAGGGGGGTGTTATGGTTTTTTTTCTGAGTCAGAATTTTTATTTAGTTTTTCGACGCTATCAACCAAATTATTTCTTTCAAAAATTTAACACTATATATATATATAAGATATGGGGAAAATCTGGATTCAGGAAATATTTTTTTTTGTCATCTGCTTGACCAGAATATTTTTTTTCTTTCGAATTGTGAATCAGAATATTTTTTTTAGAAAAAACTAAATATGGCGAGAAGACTTAATAGTAAGATTGATTGCCTATTAGTGTTTAACGCCACTTTCCGCTATTTACTATATTCTTCTTCATTTTCAATTTGTGGTGAAAGCCAGGGAGAACCAACTTCGGCTGAAAAGTTACACTGAATCCTGGTAAAATAAGATTGGAGTCTGTAAGAAGAACCCATTACAGACTTGGTATGATCTCATGGGTAAAACAGAAACAGCTGACCCAATCGCGATCATTAATTACTACATTCCTAACCTCACCCCTGAATATGTTTGTCATATTGGAGTCTTTATTAAGCCGTTTTTAAAGCTGAGGGGGTCAGACCCAAGTCAGACAAGTTTATGATTGTGTTTTTGACATAAATTTGTAAATTGACCTCTTTCTTAAAGTATGTTCTATTATGCTGTATTGCATTGAATTGTATTCAATTGTTCCATTGTTTGTTTGTATTGCTTGACCCATATGGGTGTAATTTTGCAATAAAGATTATTTATATTGAATAGCCCTACCGTTTTCAGATTAAGACATTAAGATGTGGTCATTGAGATTATGTAGCCGAGGGATCCGGGACCTACGTTTGCGTATAACTACAGTGTCACATCGAGCATCGACAACATCAGCTGCCGAAGTAGGTGAAGTTTCTGATCCAGGTTCAACTGAAGTAAAACCTTTTAGTCAAATTCCTGGACCAAAAGGATTATACAATATTCCTTTTTTAGGAACAGCATTCCATTTTAAACCTTTTAGTAAGTTATGTTAACCTTCTTAAGGAACTAATTGTTGTTTTGAAGTTATATAAATGTGCAAAAAGAACAAGAGTGCGTCATTTGATAGCTCCTGTGACTTAAAAAAATGTCATTCGTAAATTTTAATTTCATAAATAGATATAAGAAGATGTGGTATGAGTGCCAATGAGACAACTCTCCATCCAAGTCAAAATTTATAAAAGTAAACCATTACAGGTCAAATCATGTTAATTTTATTGATATATGATTAGTTTAAAATAATCTTGATTATTTGTTGCAGCAAATCTGGCTTATGTTACAACACATATATTTTCACCTAATATGCCCTCGTGGGTGGTCATTGACCACCACCGTAGAAGGGCTAAATGTAAATGTTAAGGACATTTTTTGGGCAAAATTGATACGAACCAAAACCTAATATGAAAAGATATTTTACACACATTAACATATTATAAGCAACAGAATGTAACTTGCTGTCAGAAATCAAATTTCAAAACCATTATGTTTATTATTCAATAGGTCATTACGGGATAAAATATTCCCAAACCAGTGGAAAATTGCACATGTTATTTCATTATTTAAAAGTGGTGATAAATCTTTGCCCTCAAATTATAGACCTGTCTCTTTATTATCTTGTGTTAGCAAACTTCTTGAAAAAATAGTTTTCAAAAATATTTTTAATCATTTGCATTCACATAACCTATTATACAAGTTTCAATCGGGATTCACTCCCGGATATTCTACTACCCACCAGTTGATCGAGTTGTCTAATAATATTGTAAAGGCATTAAACGACAAGCAAATTACTAGTATAACATTTGTGGATATAAGTAAAGCTTTTGATACAGTTTGGATCAAAGGTCTTTTATATAAACTCGAAAAATAGGGCATTAATGGGGATTTATTATGTTGGTTGAAAAGTTACTTATCGGGACGGTCACAAAGAGTGGTTATGAAAGATTTACTGTCCACAATGGGCTGCTTAAGAGCTGGTGTGCCCCAGTGGTCGGTACTTGGTCCATTATTATTCTTGGTTTATATAAATGACATTGCAGATGATCTAAGTGGGTTCAGTAGACTTTTTGCTGATGACACATCTATTGGCCATACTGCACTTGATGTTACACGTCTAAACACTTTAATAAATATTGATCTAGATAATTTGCAAAATTGGTCTGAAAAGTGGAGGCTTATTTAAAATTTAATCCTAATAAAACAGATATCATGATTTTTAATACTAGGAATATGCAGAACGTCCATACTTTTGATTTTGGTGGAGTCTCAATAGCTCCTGTAGATACACATAAGCATTTAGGTATTATTTTTAGTGGTGACTGTAAATGGAATAAACATGTTGATAAACTGATAGAGAAGATGTCAAAACAAGTAAACGTACTGAGGAAACAAAAATTTAAACTAAAAAGGGAATATCTTGAAAAGATTTATATGATTTTTATTCGTCTCATTTTGGAATATTCATCTGAAGTTTGGGACAACTGTGGGCAAATTAATTCCGAACGGTTAAAAAAGATTCAGATTGAAGCGGCACGTATAGTTACCGGTTTACCATGTTATGCTAGTATTAACTCTATTTATATAGAGACGGGATGGGAGAAATTAAGTGTAGGAAGGGAAGTTAAAAAATTGACCATGTTTTATAAAATTGTAAATAACCAAACACCGGATTATTTACAAGCATTGGTTCCTCCGTATGTATCAGATACTACTAATTATAACCTGCGAAAAAGACATAACATAAATATACCATCGAACCGTCTATCAGTTTATCAACAGTCTTATTTTCCATCTTCTATTACATTGTGGAATAAATTAGATTTGCATATTCGTCAAATTCCTACTTTCTCTCCTTTCAAGTTACAGTTGCAACAATTGTATTTTCATAATGTAAAACCTCCTAGGTACTATTTTTATGGAGATAAATTATTATCTATATTACATGTAAGGCTTCGCAATAAGTGCAGTGCACTTAGTGCGGATTTATACAAGGCCAATTTAGTACAGGATTCATATTGTGCATGTGGTTACATTAGTGAAAGTGTTGAACACTATTTATTATATTGCAATAACTTTGCATCGCAAGGGAATGTTATGCTTATTGAACTGACCCACTTAGACATTCCTGTTACAATTGATTTGTTATTGTTTGGTAATGATAACTTGGATACAAATCACAATTTTGTAATATTTTCTTCAGTACATAAATATATAAAAGAAACACAACGTTTCTCACTTTGATAACAACCTTGCTTGTTATTGTTTTATTTACTACAGTACAGACGTTGCATTGTTCGAATGATCGATTTGCTGTTCATAAACGGTTAACATAGTGTTACGTCTCAATGGATTTCAATTATTAAGTTAATACAAAAAGGATACTTACATTAAATCTATGTTCTTGTCAACTCTTTATCTGTATTTTTAACGTCAGAATTTAATATCCGTATCACAATAATATATATTGCACGTTAATATTTACAAATTATACATGTAAATAGAATGTCATTGAAAACACACGCATATCAGTAGGTGTTTTCCCTTTCGACCGATCGTTTGGTATACACCTTGGGTGTGTTTGATTATTCAAAATTAAAACGTTTGATATCCATTGAGCCGTTTCTATTATTTTCTTGTTTATAAATATTGTAATAACAATTAATGTTATTTATTTAATTATTTTTCATGCCTTCATGCTTATTAGAAAATTACAAATTTATGTAATGTGCAATATAAATATAATGTATACTCATGTATATTATGGAGAAGACAGAACTAAGTTGAAAAACTTGTGTCTAATCCATTTGTTTTGTACAACAAAATATGTTTAAACTAATTAAACTAAACACATTAACATTTTCGTAAAACAAACGTTGCAGCACAATATATTTTTCTGGTCACCTCAAGGGCTGTTGAGATAAAGAAATGTGGTCGACCCCTGGCCTTTTCAGTCCGACCGACAGTAAATCATCGTCAAAGTGGGTCTGTTGCAAGGCTAAATTTCTGTTCATATCCAATATGCCCAAATATTCTAGAGTCGGTTCAAATTTCCCGCCTGTCATCACGGTCGATGCCTATTACAGGACCTATCTATTGTAGTATTATTAATTGGTTCACGTCCCGAACATGCATGATATATTTGCCACTGGACATAAATCAAACAACCCCTGTCAATCAATCGGCCACCGAGGACTAAAAATATGAATGCACATTTTTCTGTTATAGTACGTTGAAATGTAACCACATGTATCTTTTTAATGTTTGTTTTGTAGCAAAATACGTTCCTGATGATTTACTTGATGTCTTAAGCAACGCACGTGACAAGTATGGCGACATTGTTAAAATACGGATGGGGAAAGATTACATAGTTTATGTATACCATCCGGATTATGCCAAAACAGTTTTCCAGTTTCCTTTCAAGGAACACCTTCGGGTTGGGTTAGACCTTAGTGAGACTTTCCATGACAGAAGTGGTGTACCGAGAGATCTTGGAACACTGTAAGTAGAAAAAAAAACACCAATCAACTTATTGGGGTTTTTAACGACCTTGACTGGCTGTAAAGCCCTCGCACGGTCGGCTACCACTGAATCAACGATACCAGGCTTATAATTTTGTACGGCCGTCAGACGCGCGATTCGTCTACAAAAGACTCATCGGTGACGCTCGAATCAAACAAGTTAGAAGGTCAAATGAAATACAAAAACCAAAAATGCTTAAATAAAACAAAAGGAGAACCTTCTGTTAAAATCAATATTTTTACTCGATAATGTATGATTTTTTATCATGCTAGCTCGTAGATTTCTTTTAGTATTCGACAAAAAAGCATAACATGCAAAATAATATTACGCTCTTTTTGTTTCATAGATGCGCATTAGTGTTGAAAACGCAGTTTCGAAATTATTATCGTCTGCTGGAATAACTTTACGCAGTCAATGTGCATGCGTCCACAAAAACTACATTTGAATCAAGAATTTCCAACATTTTCTTTTTATACCCTCGCAAACAATGTTGGGGGAGGATTGTATCCGTAAATGAATATTTTTAAATAGATATATTGTTGAAAACATAAAATAAGGACAATTATCTGTCCAAATAATTTGAACATTTTATGGCAAAATAATTAGACGCACTCCAATTTCACATTCAGCTATAATGCGACATATATATAAAATAGAGTCTGGATGGGGCCAGTGGGGTTTACAGGGTACACAGTGAAGAATAAAGGGCAAAACTATAAGGAATAGAGAAAAAATAGGTAAGAAATAAAGAATAGAATATAATAAGAGTAAAAAAAAAAGAATTGAGAAAAAAGATCTAAACTATCAAAGAATACATAAATGAAGGACCCCTATCCATACTCTCATAAATGTGCTCATTTTAATTCAGACAAGGCGATGAATGGGCTGCTCTCAGAAAACCATCACAAGAAAAGATGCTTCGACCAGCAGTTGTTGCTAATTATGTGCCGTTGATCGAAAAAGTTACGAATGACTTTGTTGAGAAGTTGCGAAAGAAAGGAAGTGTAGACGATCTGCTTAAAGAACTGCTGAATTATACAACTGAAAGTTAGTATGCATGCATATCTTCATTTATAAGTGACATTTGTTTTCTGATTCTAAAACTCCATAAACAGTCTAAACAAAAATCTCTTATGTATAAAAAGGGTCTGCATTTGGTGTGTTCTTTGAATTTAAGGTTAATTTTCTTGATAATTCTTGCCAATTATTCTTTGTTCTTTATATTTTAATACCCAATTTGTCTCTTCTTTATTTTCATGCCTATTTTTCTCGATTCTTTATTGTTCTAACCCATGTTTTGGTAGTATTGTCCTATGATTATTCTCTATTCTGTAAATCCCATACATACCCCCTATAATCATCGGACTTAGTTCCTTCGATCCTTCATGGACAAGAAACTGTGTTTGAAAATACAGTAAAAATTATTTTATTTCTGTAAAGGGCAACATCTCAAGATTATACTTTTTGCTCGATCTCAGAATGATATCAACAAAAGGAGCATAGACTATCTAAGATTTTGCCTCTTTAAGAATTATTAATATCTAAATAGTTTTTAAATTTATCATAGGTTATTTGCTGAAATTCAAATTTCAACACTGCGTATTGTGGAAGGATTTCCCATAAAGCGATCACGCACGTTATTCTGATATGTGTTAATTTTCAAACGCGATGCTTTCGAAATGTACTAATTGCAGAATATTTGTCAAGTGGAAGTTGATTCAATCCCCATCCGGGACCAACTAATGACTTGAGAATGAGTATTTGCTGCTTATCGCTAAGCATGCGGATATTTGGAGCAAGAGCAGAGACTGGCAATCTCCGATTCTCATTAATGTGTTCGGTTTGAGCGATCCGTCTCCCTGAGTATTGTTACCTTTTGAACTAGAAACTAAAAATTCGTCGCAGCGTATAGATCTAGTACAAAATAAAACTAAGGAGATGTGGTATGATTGCCAATGAGACATCCATCCAACAAAGTTCATATGAAGTGGGTGTAAGCAATTATAAACAACTGTACGGCCTTCGACAATGAGAAAAAAGCATACCGTATAGTCGGCAATAAAAGGCCCCGACATGAAAAATATGAAACATTTCAATTTAAAAAAACTAACAGCCTAGTTTATTACAAAATAATTGACGAAAAATAAATATGACAGACATGAACCAACGACAACCACTGAATTTTAAGCTACTGACTTGAGACAGGCACATAAAGAATGTAACGGAGTTAAACATGTTTGTGAGCGCTCAACCCTCCCATAACCTGGGACAGTGGTGTAACAAAGCATATTTAATATTATTCTCGTATTAACATGTGCTTTAATTTATGTTTGTAATATTTGTCAATATATATATATATATATATATATATATATATACCCCAATCCACCCAACCTTTCGTCTATCTTTTAATTTAAACAACTATCTTCTTTTTTATGTTACATATATTTAAAAACATTTAAAATTCTCGTAAGATTTTTCGTTGGAAATGTTTCTAAATCGTAACCTTGACAATAGAGTAGCGGACGAAGAGTTAATTTCTTTTTATCAAAGTTACGTATTCATATTAAGGATGTTCGCTTCTCTTGTTTTTGACTTTTTTCAGATATTCGGAGTCCTCTGGTTTAATCCATATGATGCCATTCAAAATTTTGGCCGCTAACGTCTACTTTTTTTTCATCACTTTATAACATGTAGTTTTAAAAGCCATTTTTTGAAAATCTGATAAAATCCTTGATATTTTTTCATAGTTTTTGACATAAAAAAGGTGTCAATGTTAGATGTAAGAAAAATCTAAAGAGATGCATTTCCCGCCAAATTTTCAATGGCTTTTATCTCAAAAACAAGCACACGGTCCTTGCATTTTTCTGCCTCTTTAGTTCCGTTCTATAAGTTCTCTCATTTTATAAAAGTCTTTTTAAAAAGTTTGTTATTTTGAATCAGAGTAGCGAACATCCTTACGGTTACAATACCGATATATGAGTAGTATACCCTTGTTTTATTTTTTGCAGGTGTGGCGATGCTTTGTTTTAACAGAAGACTTGGGTATTTGGAAAGTAATTCAGATACAGAAATTGTAATTCTTATCACAAAATTCTTCATTGATTTCCAGACATCGTTTACCATGCCTTTCAAGACATACAAACTATTCAGAACCAAACTTTATAAAAGATTCGAAAAGACATATTTGGATATTCATAGGTAAATATTTTATGTATATTTTGGGTAATTTTGAAATATATGCATGCATCACCAATTTATAAACAATGCCCTGATTGTGTATTGTGTTAACATTCTTATATCACGTTTGTATGAGGTTAACAAGGATGTAAAGGTGGGATCAAAATAAATCTATTTGTTGCGAAAGTGACTTCCGGAGCAAAAGCAAAAGCAAAGACAGGTCAGGTTGAAGACGGACCTAAAACGTTTAGATTTTTTTTCTTTTACGACATATGATCTTTGGCTAAGGTGGAATTATAAACATGCAAAAAATGGATGATAGGAACCACAATTTGCGCCTTGACCTATACGGGCGATATGGAACACGTGTTGTTGGTTGTTGTTCGCCTATGTTTAAACGTCTATTTTTCAGAAAAGTCAGGTGTTAATGGTTAAGATGCTCCGGTCGTCTGTGCTGTACAAAATGTTAGATTATTCCTTCTATCCTTTTTATGATATATTGATAAACAAAAATAATTCTAAACAAGAGAAAAACAGGTGACAACACCATGGCAAGAAACAAACGACGTAAAGACAAACAACAAGTACATACCGTTACACAGAATATTAAATACTGCATGAGCAACACGAATCTTACAAAAAAAAAACGCGTGTAAACTCAAGTGCTCCGGAAAATGTAAGTAGTTTTTGTTCAAAATTGGCACCCGTCGTTTTTCTCGTGGGAAGTAAAATTTAGATTAACGTAGCGTTCAGTAACGACGGTGGTATAAGTTTTTATGGCCCCGCATCTTAGTGGTCGGGGCCATATAGTTTTGCACTTGTCCGTCATTCTGTTATTCCGCAAAGAACATTTATACGGACTTTTTTTTCTCAACGCCTTCACATATTGAGCTGATTATTAGTATGCCAGTCTACTGTGACGAGTTGCAGATCGAGTTTACGTTTCGTTCCGCTCTGCTGGTTGTTAACGAACCAAGGGCGTGTTTTTTGTTCTTCGGTAGTGAGCCAGAAAATGTCAGTTTCTGTTATAATTGAATGGGAGCTGTATGATAATCGATTTTATGGTATGGCAGTCTAAGTAGGATATCCCTGTTGGGACTATAAGCTGGATAAATATAAGAACTACACGGAAAATATAACAGTAAGGGGACGACTATTTGATATTCTGTGGAGGGGAGGGGCAGGAGGATTTTTTATTCATTTTAATCTGTCGCTAAGCATGCCTATTTTTCAGCTCTTACCAGGCCACCGTATTCACATTCAAAATCCCCCCGCTAGGGAAACACGAGTTTAGAGATGTGGTATGATTCAACCAGAGTTCAAATGAAGTGGGTGTCAGCAATTATAGGCGACCGTTCGGCCTTCAACAGTGAAAAATACCCATACCGTATAGTCGGCTATCAAAGGCCCCGACATGAAAAATTTGAAACAATTCAAACGAAAAACTAAGTCCTAATTATATATAACAAAACAATTTACAAAAAAATCAAACATGAGTCGACAGACGTGAACCAACAACATGAACAACAACCACTGAATTACAGGTTCCTGACTTGGGACAGACTGTCGCACATAAAGAATGTGACAAGTTAAATATGTTTGTGAGCGCTCAACCCTTCCCTAAACTGGAACAGTGATGTAACAGTACAACATAAGAACAAACTGTAAAAATCAGTCGTAATTGGATTAACTCAAAAGATCGTTACAAGAAAAAGAAAAAAAAAACAACTAATATTAACTTAAAGTTGGAACCAAGGATTTGTACAAATCCTTATTGGAACAATTCTAATGACTATAAATTGTAAATTTGTCATGAATAGATCACATATACTTTCGATTTCCAAATGAAATGAAAACGGGAAGTGACAAGTGGATAATAAATTTAGAATGAATCCGGATTCATCTACGGATTGGTTCGTGTTTAAAAAATGCAGGAAATTATCACTTTTTTAAATTAAATTTGCTAAATAAGAACTATACTTGCCTCTCTCGTTTAGTTTGATACTTAATTATTTCGTTTTTTACGTTTTAGTGTCTTTAAATTCATAAGAATACTTTCACGCATGCGCAGTTCATCGTAAAGGAAGCACCTGTTTGACTCGTGAAAACATTTCTGAATGTTATGAATAAAGTTCTATCATTTTAATCGAAATTGTCGAAAGTTTTTGATTAAAAGTTATATCAAATATGACGAAAATACGTTCATTTGACGAAACTACGACAAGCGAACTGCAAATTGTGATCGTTTGAGAAATATTGAAATTAAATGGTGAAGAGTTCAAAAAAATGAATCAGGACCTCTTCTGGAGATGTTCTGTAGAAGAAGCAATGAAACAAAAATTCAATTTGCCGTCGAACATAGCAGATTTTTTCTTTATTTTGGATGAAATAAATGAAGTTTACAATAATTTACTAAAAAAAATATGATACGTCAGTTCATTTGGTAGGCATGACTTATAGTGTACTAGTTTTGGCATTGATCTAATAATACAATAAGTGTAAAAGCAAAGAATATTGGTTGGACGCAATCGCTGTGCTCGTGAGTTTTCAAAATCTTTTTTCCCTGGTGTTCCGTGAAGAAAATCTGTTGGTCCTAACTATTATTTCTATTGCAAAATTTCGATGGTCAATACCTTCGAACCACCACTTTTCGAAAACCTTAATTGTATATGCATGTATAATTAAAAAAAAATGTATTTGCATGTATAGGAGCTAAGGTAAACATGATTATGTCGTTTCTCAGACTGTTTAAGACTAAACCCGTTGGCCAAGTTGTGTACTGATTTATATTTTAGTCTGGGAGAATTAGATTTATTTCAGTGTTAGTTGCAATTAGTTTTGAACAAACTTGCAGTAACTGCAATTACACTTATTTCTGTGCTTTGTGTCTGTTGTCGGGTTTAACCCACCATTTTCTACATAAGGAAATGCCTGTACCAAGTAAGGAATATGAATATTTTAAACTCGAATTTTCATGAACATGCATGAAATATTTGTCACTGGATGTTAAAAATAAGCAACCAACAACCAATCAATTTAAACCTGTGTTTAATAAAGGGAAGACCCCTTGATATTTTTGTTTGGGGTGGGGGTGGGGGACATGAGGATTTTGAATATGAATATGATGGCCTGGTGAGAGCTGAAATAATAGAATAAGATGAATAATAAATCCACAAAAAATCCTCCTGTCCCCTACCCCCTCCCCAGAATATCAAATATTAGTTATATTCGTTCTTCTCTCTTTGCGAGCGGGGCCATTCGTGTACATATCTAGTTTTAAATACATTATCATTCGAACGTATTTTGGCCTCGTAGAAAGACCTTAATAGGCTTAACCTGTTTGATGCCCAACCAATTGTATTCATGAATAAATTATTATTCAAAATGAATTACAATAAACAAAAATGTTCAAAAAGTGTTGAACTAAGGGATAACCTTTAGAATCCACTGAATTCACTCACTGTTTTAGGTGTGTTTGGTGTTACTCAATCTTGGGTTAATGGACAGTGTATATGCGGACTGTTGTTTATCTTTTTATCGGTTTTCTTTTTGTTAAAGTATTAATTCTTTCTTCGATTTTCTGTTTCCGGTTTGTGTAGTTTGTTTGTGGACTGTTTATTACATGCATCATTTTATCTCTTCTTTTTGACAAAGTATTATTTTTTCTTCGACTATGCTATAATTTTATTGGTGGACGACCATTTAAAAATCTGGAGGGACCAGGAGGATTTTTCCGGATGTAATATTCTACCTGTGCATGTTATTTTTTGTGGTTCTGACGCTGTTATACACAATTAAATGCTGTATTTTGTTTTGCAGAATATTCCTTTTAACCAAGTCTTGGACAACATTACTTCTCAATTTTAACCAGGCCAGGAGATTCATTTTCAAAATTCTTCTCCCCACACCCCCATCTCGAAAATCAAATGGTCCTCCCCATGCCACCTTGTGATATTCTTACTATTTTGCCGGTTTGTGCATGTTGTGAAAGAGGGAGGTGGTTCTATTACAAGTGATCGGTATTTAGTACAGATACGCATTTGCGCATGCGCAAAAAATTGAAAATAATACCTTTTGATATCGAATATAAATTATGATGAGAGTGTAAATCATTGTTTTTAAAGATCTTCCAAGTCTAGCATTGAATAAAATATAATTTAACAAAAGACTATTAACATTCATCTTATATTTTAGGATAGGTAGGCAAGAGATATCAGACCAAAGAAAAATGTTAGAAAAATTACAAAGAGAAGGTAAACTCGATCAGTATCTTCAGGACGAACCGAACTTCATATACTCGCTAATTAATGACACAAGAATGACGGATGATAAAATCAATAGCGTTATTATGTCTTTGTTTATAGCAGGAATTGACTCGGTATGTATTTAAAAAAAATCCTATATGTCTAGCTCTATATAAAAGAGCCTCCATCATGGGGTTTTTGATAATGTGATTACTTGGTCGTTTTTATAGTGATTATTTGATTACCAGACGAAATATTTCAGGATTATTTGATAATCTGGGACTTAATTTTGGGTTATTTGATTATCTTGTTTAAAAAAATAATTAATGATTATGAGATTATATTGGCAAATAATTTGTGATTATGTGATTACTTGGACACCCCATGAGTTGTCTCATAAAAATAAGGAAGTGTCATTGCTCACGAGAGTGATCATGAGAGAACCACACACCCGAGACCAAAGGACGAGGGTGAAAACAAATAAAAGTCGAGGTACGACTTCAACAATGAGCAAAACTCTTATTGTTTGCTATAAAAGATCCCAGTGTTTTATTTTTATTTTTGAAATCTTCTATAATCTTTTAATTTGACAATAAAATTGACAAAAGTAACGCATTAAGAGCATTTATATTTGGGGAATGACATTTTACAGGGAACACCTAGACCGCCTGAGAATACGACGGTGCATGGTGTATCTTATGTTTCCGTTTACATTTTGAAAACACGGTAGCAGACAAGGAATTACAACGATTTTGGTCATGAGATTTGAAATTCTGACTATTTGTGCTTATACTTATCAAAAACAAATTCGTAGAATATCTAATAAAAAGATCTTGTCATTTCGAAAGATTAACAACAACAAAAATATCACACTGAGTCGCTGTGTCTGTCTAACTATAGCAAAGGCGTAAAACAAAGCTAGGTTTATCGAAGATTATTTAAGGAAGAAAATAAAATGCATATTTCGGAAACGCTGTTTTACAGCCGTGCGTGATCGGATCCGTCGGGTTGTTGAAATATTGTATGGGTCGGTTGTACGGTGTATGATAAAATTCGTTTCTCTCTCATTTTGTTCTGTAGCAAGTCTCATAGCAAGTTGTTGAAAAATAATAATTGTGATTTCAAAGAAAGGTCACACTCGCGATATTCATCGCCGTCGATCGTCCGTTTCCTGTGCTTAATGATTCCATGCACCATGACAAAACAGCCTATGATTCGGTCAAGGATCATTCCGGTAAAACTTAGATGGAAGGGAAAACAAAAACCGACACCTGCAACAGGACGAAATGATTTATATATTAGGAGAGGCATACATGAGGGTATACATGGTATTTACACCATAGAGAATAATAAGCCTAGTCTACAGAAAAATGGACCCAAAAAGTTAAAATAGAGAAAATTAAGGCCAAAATAAAAAATTAGAAATAGACAATAATGATAATGGGGTGTTAAAATATAAAGAATAGAGAAATAAATAAGTACACCCATTTAGACCCTCATGCATGCATGTTCAATATATAAACATTCGTATTTTGTTTTGTTTCAGACTGCAAATACAATCGCCTTCGTATTAATCAATTTAGCATTAAATCCAGAAAAACAAGACAGGTTGTTCCAAGAAATAAAGGAAACTATGTGTGATGAAAATACTCTTACGAAGGAACATCTAGCAGAAATGTCTTACCTCAAAGCCTGTGTCAAAGAATCTCAAAGGTAAGGCAAAATATATTAATATCCTTGTAAACAATAATACTTATAATTATGCATGATAGATAAACTAAGAAAATTGAAGTAGTTTTACTTGAAGACACACACACTTGTAAAAGAGAGGCGAAAAATACCGAAGGGACACTCAAACTCACAAGTAGAAAATAAACTGACAACGCCATGACTAAAAACAAAAAAAGACGAAACAGACAAACAACAGTACACAAAACACAACATAGACAACTAAAGACTTAGCAAATGCAACACTAACCCACCAAAATCGCGGGGTGATCTATGGTGCCCCGGAAGGGTAAACAGATGCTGCTCTACATGTTTCACCCGTCGTATTGCTAATGTTAGTTAACCGTAAATTACACCGTATATACAATACATAGTACCTGAAGTTTTTTATTGAAATAGACGTTACACTTATTGTTAAACTTAACTGTTCTCAACAAACATCGCATATAATCAGTTTAATTTGACTTGGTTGAATTGATATTTGGCAGGTTAGTGTTTCCATTGATGCTTGGTGCTATTCGATACCTAGAAGAAGATATTGTATTAGCAGGCTATCATATACCCAAAAACGTAAATATTATGCTATCAATAGTTTCATTAGGGATCTTGATGGGGTTTATTTACATATTAGCGAATAACGGACAAAACAAAGAGAAGAAACAAAATAATAGAGAAAAAAATAAAAAAATAGAGAACAATTAGAAACAAATTAAAGAAAAGGGAAATGACCTTATGAATTATGTAATTCATTGACCGCTCCCGACATGTGTAACTTCAAGGCATATTTTAGCGGCGATCGATGTCTTTCAAAATTACAACACTTTTCTTGTATCCCTGGTGCTTTCGTCATACACAAGCATCGCACAAGTTGGCACTCCGAGGCGAGTGGGGAGCAAGAAGGTGAACTGTGGTTTATTTTTATCAATAGTACCGATTAAGTCGACGCTAGGGGCCGTCTTGACCTTGTTGTATGGTATGAATGATTCATTCATTGTTGAAGACCCTACATCAACTGTCAAGATGAAGAACAGGAATAAAATCCCTGTTCATTGATTATTTTCTATGTTTTCTATGTATAGTGTGCGATTTTGTCCCATGTACATTTACTCCATATCCTTTCATTTTCTTATGAATAACAGTAACGACGAACATCCATCCAGGTCCTCATTGAATTTGGTCATTATGCGGGGTAAACTCAAAATATGAATTACTAAGGGAACTGACTCCGAACGAACATTTAACTTCAAAAAAAGGGGGTATGGTGTTATCATAATAAAAAATTCTGATCCCCAATTTAATGGAAAAAAATATTGTGGTCAAGCAGATGACAAAAAAAAAGTTCTGACTCCGTCAAAAAACCATACCCCTCCTTGAAGTTTAATGGTTGCTCCCTAATTCCGAAGAATATTTTCGTTTGAGTGAATGAATCAGTTGGATCGCGGACTTGGAAAATTGTTCTCAATTACATCACTTAAAGTTGAACATGATTCTTTTCTATAGGGTTTTAGTGGGAAAATAATCATTCTTGAAATTGAATCATATCATTTTGTGGCACATCAGATGATCTTTTGTCTACTTAAGACTCATTAATAGCGCTTGTTCTAAAAAAAATATTGGGAAGGCCTAACCAGATATAATATACAAAGTTACAGCCAGAGCATGCAAATTTCGATTGCCTTTGCATTTATATAACAGAATTAAGCCTTGTGATTAATTGATTTTGATTGCTTAATGTCCAGTGGCATATATTTCATGCATGTTCGGGACGAGAGAAAAATAAGAGAAATTTGAAATATCACCACAGAAAAAGGATATAATTGAACCTTGCAACAGACCACAAACGGACCCCTTATAAGAGCAATTGTTCCAAACGTGAAGAAAACATGGCACTATCTCTTAACGAGTCATCGAATGTAATGTCTCTATTCTGACCGGACGTGGCTTTAAACTTTTACATCCCGCACACCAAACGGACGTCCCATCTGCCAGAGGTTTTTATGGTGAGTTTTACCAAGATTTATCGGTTTACTGAACATAGAAATGAGACAGTATGTTATCCGTGCAATCTCACGTTGAAGATTTAATCCAAGAAGTTGTTTGTTTTCGTTTGTTTAAATTTTATTTTGAAAGGCTTTGTTTGTTCCTTTAATAATTCTTAATGAATATGTTTATGGTTGTGCATGTCATACTGTTACTGGTTAAAGTAACTCAGTGCATATTCCGTCCGGTCTGTGATTTTGTTTGATTTTTGTTCTGTTGTGTATCGATCTGATGAGTTAAGCCATTTCAAACTGATTTTTGTAGTTTGTTTTTATGTTGTGCTGTAACACCATTGTCCTAGGTTAGGGGAAGGGTTGAGCACTCAGAAACATGTTTAACCCCGCCACATCCTTGTGTGCCTTTCCCAATTCTATAGTTCAGAGTTTGTCGTTGGTTCATGTCTGTCATACCGCTATTTGTTTTTCGTAAATTGTTTTGTTATAAATTAGGCCGTTAGTTTTCTCTATTGAATGTTTTTCATATCTTCAAGCCGGGGCCTTTTATAGTCGACTATACGGTATGGATTTTTCTTATTGTTGAAGGCCGTACGGTTGCCTATAATTGTTTACATCCATTTTATTTGAACTTGGATGGACAGTTGTCTCATTGGCAATCATACCACTTCTCCTTATTTTTATATATATTGTCTTTGTACCCGGATATGTTTTTTTATTTTTTTTTTGTGATGACCTTTGATCTTACTTGCAGACACTCGTCCATCCAAATATGAATTCCATGACAATGGATGACAGATTTTACCCGAGACCTACCGAATATATTCCTGAACGATGGCTTCGTGGTACAAAAGACGATATTGCCAAAGGTCAGGACTTTCCATTCGGAATGATGCCTTTCGGGTTTGGACCAAGAGGGTGTATCGGACAAAGATTCGCAGAAACGGAAATGCACATTGGTGTCGCAAAGGTAATTTAAAATTCGAAAAATTTTAAACATGAAAGGTTGGGGGGAACATGGTAATATCCCGTTATGCAAGAGTATTTAAAATTTAAAATTAAAATGTGAGTATGGCGAGTGAAAAGGAAAATATATTTAACCCTGATGTAACCTTTGAGGTAACTAGTTACTCCATTTTGTATGGAAATTTATCTTACCTCCTATATACATTTCTAAGAATATGATTGGTTAAAAGCAACCACGTGGAGACCGTGTATATTTCATATGGGGTAAGTAGGCTTGGTTTATTTCAATTCATGGTTAGTAATGGTGTTACGTCCATTTGTAAAAACAACACAGTGTTGAGGGAAACACCGAGTTGTTGAAAGATTTTTCCCAACACTGTGTTGTTTTAATAAAGGGACGTAACACCACTTCAACCGTGTATTGAAATAAACCCCGTTTACTAACCCAATATGGAATATACACGGTCTCCACGCGGTTGCTGTTAACCAGTCTATTCCCAGAAATGTATTGGAGGTAAGGTAACTAATACAATGCGAGTTAAATTTAAAAGGGAGATTTGAGATATATGAGCACCGAAAGACAACAAAAAGACAAAAGATATCTAAACAAATTGTTTTCATCAATGAACGAGTGTTTTCTTATACAGCATGTCAAACTCGATTCATCGATGATACTTTTTTTAAGCAAAGCTAAATATATTTTCGTTCTTTAATAAACTACAGATTTGGTCACCAATACTGTTTGTTATCTTTTTCAGGTTATACAGAACTTCAAAATATCTTTACCGCCAGGAGTAACGGGAGTGAAAACAAAGCTCAAGACTTTTACAACACCGGCAGAAAGTGTTGTTCTACATCTAACGGACAGAAATATATCGAACGTATAGAATGTTATAATTACTGTTCTTCATTAATACTCATAGATGTTTTATGTAGATTTTCTTGTAAAATAATGATGTAATGTTGTCATTGGTGACCAATAATGTATACTGGGCTTGATTTATCAAAACTCATAAAAAGTAGAGGATTTCTGATTAGTTACAAATTTTGCATATTAACCGATATTTCATTTAATAGTTCCTCCTTAAAGCTCATATAAGTACTCACGATATATGCATCCCGGAAAACAAGATGGCAGAAATGGACATTATTCTAACATTTGAACTCGGACTTCTTTTACGCGGCATTTTACGCCTGTCTCAAGTCAGGTACATCTACCCCTTGTTAGTGTGTTTTTTTAAATTTTGGTTCATGTGTTGTTGGAGTTCAGTGTGTCGTTTATTTCGCTGAACTAGTATACATTATTATTTTGGGGTCAGCGGAAGCCCCGACTCCAGATGCGGGATGTTCTCGCAGTGTTGAAGACACATTGGTGACCTTATTCTGTTTTCTGATCTTTGGACGGGTTTTTGTTCTCTTTTACACATTCCCCGTTTCCAATCTTTATTGTAATACGCCATGACTGCATGCATGAGAGCTGAAGGAAACCGAAGAATTATCCCCAATGTGCAACTATCCTATATAATTTTATGACACATATTCAAATCAGGAAATCATGCAACTGTATACATGACTGTCTTGAAGGTTTTATCTAACCTTGACCTCATTTGCAGGGTTCATTAGTCAATAAAGTTAATTAAGTTTTCATTGTTAGGTATTTTTCTCTTCTCATAAATTATAAGGAATAAGTCAACTGCATGTATATTTGTTGCATGGAATTATTGTATGGTGTCCATATCCCTTTGGCTTGTCTCCACACATGGATCTTATATAATATTGAATTTATATGATACTTGTAGCTAGAATATTTTTGTAAAGGCTTCAGATATAAATTTATTCATGATTTATAAAGACATTTATCATAACAAGTTCACATGTCACACAATAACTTAAGTTTGCTATGAGACCTATAATTCAATTTGACCAAATTAATAAGAATGGTCATCTGCATGTCAGAATACTCCTAAATATTTTAAAATTTGTTGTCCAAGAATTATTTGACATCAGTGTACAAACATGCAATCTTTTAAATGTTGCGTACTAACCCAATTAATCTTCGATCGAAGTGCTTTACTAAGTACCAAGTCAGGAATATGACAGTTGCTTTCCGTTCGTTTGATGTGTTTTAGATTTTGATTTTGCCATTTGATAAGGAACTTTCCATTTTGATTTTCCTTGGAGTTCGGTATTTTTGTTATTTTACTTTTTACCAAGCTACTTAGAATAATGGTTTTAGTGTCAGTTTACGTATACATCTTGCCTCATGTTGAAAATTTCGAAAAAAAAATGATAAGTTGAAACAAAAGCTTGTCTTCATATCAAAATGTTTTCACGGCGAGTGTCTTGCAAGAAGCAAGTTCTGTTCACCCTCTGACATCGTCCCCAGTTTTTCGGGATCCATGTTTCTCATTTATTTTTAGTTTTCAGTGTTGATGGTCTATTGTTTGTCGTTATGTGTCTTATCTGTTACCGGGTTTGTCTTTTGTTCGTTTATTGCGCTTCTTTATGGCTATTGTCTTAGTGTTGAATTTCGTTAGGGATTTTGATTTAAACTTGAGTTTTATTATATCTAAGGACCTTTTGTCTAATTTTAAAACCTACTTTAAATTGTAAAAATATTTGAAATTAGCTCTTTTTGTTCTGATACGGCGTTAAGCGAACACCAATCAATCAATCAATCAATCAATCAGTCAATCAATCAATCAATCAATCAATTAATCTTCATGACAAACGCTTCAGTTGTCCAATATTAAGCTGTTGTTGATTCTTCTCGTGACATCTGTATGTTGTAAACGTTCATTCTCTGCTTTGCGTAGACTTAAGACTTGGGAAAGATCAACGTTGACGGGTGAAAGGTTGTGTACGTGGTATGGCAGTGTTGAGATACGTGGTATGGCAGTGTTGCATGTCCACCGATTTCCAGATATTGTTAAAAAAATGGTTTGAGAAGATTCGATGCTACCGGACATAGAAAAATTGGTCGTTTTTTTTCATGGAAAATTAAACTTTGTATTAAAGAATACAAGACTGGCTCTCTTTTCTGTAAATAAAACTAAAAAGCTGACATGGGTTAAATTAAAGTGAGACAACCAATCTCCAAGAATCAAATCATTTAAAAAGAAAAATCGTGTATTGTTATACGACCTTTTACATTGAAGGGCTAAACTTGCATTAAGCCGTGGTCAGGCCCTTAAATAGAAAATAAAGGGATATGGAGTAAATATGCATGGGACAAAATCGCACACGCTACATAGAAAAAGTACAAATTATCAATGAACAGGGTTTTTATTCCTGTTCTTCATCTTGACAGTCGCTTAAGGATCTTCAACAATGAACGAATCATTCATAGCCTACAGCAAGGTCAAGACAGCCCCTAGCGTCGACTTAAGCGGTACTTAAAGTATTGTATTGTGAATAAATTTCAAAGTCACAAAAACATACACCAAAGTCAAAACACAATACAAGACCAGAACAGACAGATCCGACATTAATCAGCCGGTATAAAATATAGCAATGAGGTCTTAGAACAGTTTTCCTGATTCTACCCTGAGTGTACCCTTTTATCCCAGTTAGGAACTACATCAAGTTGTAACTGAAATGAGTTATAAAATCTGAATTCACATAGTTAAATAAATGATAATCAGCCCCCTTTTAACTTAATTTGAAAAAAAAATAATTGACAGGTATAATACGTTTTCTGCAAGCCGAAACTCAATTAAAAATAAAACAGCAGCCACACACTTAATTATGTGAAATACGATTTGTGCTTTATCCTACATATCGGTCTTTTGATGTTGTCCCTAAAAACTAAGAGTCTTACAATGGATCTATTTATTTTGCTTTGAGACCAGAATTTTGTCGAAAACATAATTAAAAAACAAAACTTGTGTTTTAGATTAAGAACGGGTCCGATAAACGCTCAGAAGGCACAATTTTGCGTCTTTTTTCCAGAGCTTCTAGGGGCCTTGAGCGTCCTTGAGCCGCCCCCAGACCCCTCGCCGAAATTTGTTTAGCCTCGCTTTGCTCGGCGAATATATCTTGCCTCACTTTTAAAAGAGGCTAGTTACGGCCCTGGACTTTCACTATTGTTCGCGAGTTCATTTTCGGAGAAGTCCGGTGTTTGTGGTTGATCTGGTCGGTCTTTATTTATTTTTGTTGACCCATGTTATCCCTTTTTATGCATTGTTTGATGCTATGTAATGGAATAGAGAGATATTTGAAAAAAACAGTCATTCTTTACACCAACCCATGCAAAATTGAAATCGAGATTTTTTATATCCGTAAAATAAAACCATTTTATAGTAAAAGGGAGATTTACAAAGCTCTAAACTGGAATTGTTATTTTATGTATTGAAGTCTGGAGCTGGCATGTCAGTTAACTGCTAGTAGTCTGTTGTTATTTATGTATTATTGTCATTTTGTTTATTTTCTTTGGTTACATCTTCTGACATCAGACTCGGACTTCTCTTGAACTGAATTTTAATGTGCGTATTGTTATGCGTTTACTTTTCTACATTGGCTAGAGGTATAGGGGGAGGGTTGAGATCTCATAAACATGTTTAACCCCGCCGCATTTTTGCGCCTGTCCCAAGTCAGGAGCCTCTAGCCTTTGTCAGTCTTGTATTATTTTTAATTTTAGTTTCTTGTGTACAATTTGGAGTTTAGTATGGCGTTCATTATCACTGAACTAGTATATATATTTGTCTAGGGGCCAGCTGAAGGACGCCTCCGGGTGCGGGAATTTCTCGCTGCATTGAAGACTTGTTGGTGACCTTCTGCTGTTGTCTGTTCTATGGTCGGGTTGTTGTCTCTTTGACACATTCCCCATTTCCATTCTCAATTTTACTCATTGTTCTTTAACAATGTATTTCATGCGTGAGCACTATTTTAAACTCAGCAAAATGGTAGTGTTGTGTAAAGTGAGTTTATTGTAGCACAACTGTTTTTAGTAAGCCAACATAAACTGATAGCAGATCCAATAAGTATATAGACATGCATAGTAAAAAATCGGATTTATTAAACATGTTTTAGTCTAATTTTCTATTAACAGTTATATGATTTCATATTGAGACTTTTGAGTCTAATCAAAGTCTTAATCAACACAAAACTATTGATGTAAAATTTTGAATTATAAACACTAAGTTAAATAACGAGTTTAGATTCCACCACTGCATCAAGTGCGTTACGATATTTCTCCACTTGAGACATTTAAATTTTCATAGGTAAAGCGCGAGACTTGCCGAACCTTTTTCATGTCGTCAGAAGAAACCAAGAATATTTGAGGTCATAATTGCATTTCGACTAATCATTTGCCGAGAATAAAGTTTTCTCTTGAACGAAGAAATATTTTCTCACACCGATCGAGAAATGTGAAAAAAGCATGAAAATTAAAGAAAGCGGGATTTAATAGATCAGGTTTAAGTAATCCTAAGTCACGTGGTATCACTGTTCTGGGATGAATGAAAGAAGTACCGACTCTGTTTGTCGGGCAGGAGTGTCATCTGATCGTTTCCTCTGAATTATATGACAAATCAAAATAATGACCAAAAGTGATACCAGACCTAGGAGAACAGCTAACACAATGATTGTCACCGCATCTGAAAATAAAAAGAACATAGTGCAATAGATTTACAACATAAACGGTTAACATAAAGACTACACAATTTTAGAATTAACAGATGATGAATATCACTTTTTTATATACTTTACTGTGAATAGCTATATGTGGTATGAGTGCCAATGAGACAACTCTCCATCCAAGTCATAATTTGTAAAAGTAAACCATTATAGGTCAAAGTACGGTCTTCAACACGGAGCCTTGGCTCACATCGAACAGCAAGCTATAAAGGGCCCCAAAAAATGACTAGTGTAAAACCATTCAAACGGGAAAACCAACGGTCTAATCTATATAAAAAACGAGAAACATTTATGAGCCACACCAACAAACGACAACCACTGAACTTCAGGGTCCTGACTTAGGGCATGTGCAAACAAATGCAGCGGGTTTAAACGTTTAAATAGGTCCCAACCTTCACCCTTACAATAACTGTTTTCGTTGTAGATCGTGAATAAAGTTGACGTATCTGTTCTTGCTATGTTCATTTGTTAGATTTACAATAGTGCAATGTATTATCTTCATTGATTGATTGGTGCAATTATTGGTGTTCTGGTCGTTTTTTGTGTTTTTTTTTTTAGGGGGGGGGGAGGTCTTTGTGGTAAATATTTAGGACGAAAACAGGGAAAGTCATTAGAAGATATCGCACTTTTTTAAAAGACATATACTCTAAGTTTGATTTTGATATGCTCAATGTAGCTCACAAAATATCAGCCTCCTAGAGTCAATTTACCTTACCGTTCACATTGTTCGTAATCCAAGCAGAAAGATTTTGCCCTTACTAGTATGTCGGAAATTCGGTCGTCAATTGTATGACTATATGACCGATGAAAATGTGATGCATCTATAAAGGTCACAATTTTAATGCATTGATAGAGTAAAGTGGTTAGTGATCTCGACTAGTAAGCCGTGATAAAAACAGAAACACAAACAATTATCATATTAAAAAAAATCTCAAGCAACGTTTTGTTGCGTCGATCAAATCATTTTATCTAGCAAACATAAAGAAGCTGGAAAGAAAAAAATCCGACATTTTAACTGTTCTTTATCTTTATACGTTTGCGTTCTGATGATTGATCGACGGAATTGAAAGAGTGAGGTATAGCCGAACGTTTTACTGGAAAGACTTTGGCATATTTCCTTTTCAAATTGTTACTCAACACGGAATACCAGTATGATCAATTGTGATTTAAACTTTTTTAATGTTACTCTAAGGTACAAAATATGACGAAAATGTATCTTGTGTAAAGATACGTCCAAAATAGAGGGACTAAAGATACCAGAGGGACAGTCAAACTCATAGATCGAAAACAAACTGACAACGCCATGGCCAAAAATAAAAAGACAAACAGACAAATAATAGTACAGATGACACAACATAGAAAACTAAAGACTAAGCAACACTAACCCCCACCAAAAAAACTGGGGGTGATCTCAGGTGCTCCGGAGGGGTAAGCAGATCCTGCTCCACATGTGGCACCCGTCGTGTTGCTTATGTTATTACAAATCCGGTAAATAGTCTCATTCGGTAGGTCACATTCGTGAAAAGGGAGGGGTATTGTAGTTACGACATATATAAGGAACATATCCGATATCATCTGTGAAACGGTTATTCCATAACGATCAACCAACTCGTGATGGCGTTCGTAAAATTTACGAAGGGATGATTTCAACTTCACCATTTGGAACTCTTGGTTTAATAGCTTCCTTGTGAGCAGCAATCCTCTATCAAGGAAATCATGATAGGAAATACAAGCCCGGGAATATCGTATCAATTGGGAGATATATTCTCCGTCTGCAGGCGCTGCTGGAATGTTGCTACATAGATATGGAAAGTACACAATTGGGAAGCTGAAATCATCTCTTTTGTCGTAAAGTTTTGTTTTCAACGACCCTCATTGTCAATTTCTAGATGTAAATCAAGATACGAGGCAGACTTAACTGTATCTGTAGTATCCTTTATCTCTAGTTCGATGGGATAGATTCGTTCAACATAGGTACCAAATTTTGCATTATTTAGTGAGAGAACATCATCTATATAGCGGAACGTAAAGTTAAAGGATGTTGCTAGCTTCTTATCTTTTTTCCTAAGAATTCCTGTATGAAGTCAGCCTCATAATAATAAAGAAACAAATCGCCAAGAAGAGGGACACAAAGTTAGGTGAGGCGTAAAAAAAATAATCCGGAAGTGAATAACCCGTATTAGACAATCGGACCGGGCCAAAAAGTAAAATCACAAAAAATACTGAACTCCGAGGAAAATTTAAAACGGAAAATCCCTAATCAAATGGCAAAATCAAATGATAAAACACATCAAACAAATGGACAACAACTGCCATGTTCCTGACTTGGTACAGGCATTTTCAAATGTAGAAAATGGTGGATTGAACCTAGTTTTATAAGCTGTCAATATTAATATCAGAAAGGATACGCCATCGGTTTTGTATATGGCGATTGATCCGTATTAGGGCTGATTTGATCATAACATTTAATAATGTTGATTATTTTTTATCCGTGGCGTACCAATTTTCGCGGAATTCATGGCTACAGGTAGACCACGGATTTACATGTTCAACGAAGTGTTAATTTTCTATAGTCTTGAATGCAGACTTTGGCAAATCCGCGAAATCAAATATCCACGAAAATACAAATTTTCCTCAATCCACGAATATTGGTACCAAACGCAAATGATTGTAGCCACATACCTTTGGATCTGTTTTCTTCTTCTGACAATTCACTAACAACTCCTGACATTGTCTTCAAATAGCTATGGCAGGTTGGGAGACCTTTAGGGATATATCTATTCTGATGTTCAAACGCTTCATTAAGCATAAGAGCCATTCCCTCGACCATGTGCTTATCAATGTGACAGTGCAAGAACCACATCCCAGGGTTACTGGCAACTATTCTGATTATTGCATAGCCCCCATATGGTACAACTATTGTGTCTTTTCGTACAGAATCAATCAAGTTTATTCCTGGAATATTATTGTAATCATTCCACGCTTCATTTCTCCACTTGGCGTTATTGCATTGGCTTTGTTTATTAGAGAGCGTATCGCTGCATTTTATGTCCTGTGTGAATACGAACTTGCCATTACTTGTAACTTCAGGAAACACCATCTTCAGAACTTCAAACGTGTGGCCATGCATATGAATAGGATGAGCAATCATTGCTCCTTGGCCAAGACTCAACAGAACCATAATGACTTCAGATCCAGATTTTAAGTTCAAAGAATGGCTACATGTACAGGTTTTTTCATCACTGCATCCATTACAGTCGGTATCGGTTTCAAACGGTTGTGTCAGAGGTGCAACTGTTGGCCAACGAAAAATACGTCCATTTATAGATGAATGATCACCGGGAAATCCAAAGTTCAAGAAATGTAATGCTTTTTCATTTGTTTCTTTGACATATTTTACATTAAAATCTTCATCATCTATATTTTTGCGAGATTTCAAGTCAGTCACAGGGACACAAATAAAATTCTTCCTTTGTGGATAGATTTGAAACGGGCAATTTAATACCCGAAACTTGTTATCATTAGTGTGAAATTTCATGGCTGAAGAATCTCCTTTCTGAACATTAAGAAATCCAAGTCCAATAGTATCTCCAACCGTAAGATTTGGTGATGAAAGAACACTTACGGTAATGTTGTAAATTCTTTCCTCGGCATAATCCAAATCTATTTCAAAATCATACCGTTCCGCAGGAAATATGATTATTTTATCTACAACAGTCGGCACAACCTCAAATCCATCAGTTTCAACCACATTTAGTTTTAAACCTGGGATTGAAAATAAGAGGGTACGATGGGAGCCAACTGCAATAAGTCTGAACAAATATCGACTACCTTTCCTAACATTGAACGTTTCAATGGGGGCAAGAATATCTTTAAACTGTCCTCGGCCGTTGATTAAGATTGAATGAGGGGATGTATCATATAGTTTATCATTCAAATCTAGTAACGCCATTGTATCAAACTGATGGTTCCATTCTTGAATTTGAACGATATGCTGATTCATAAATGGCATTCGTAGACGCTCCTTTTTGCGGAGGACAATAAAAGCGCCATATAAACCCATATCTCTTTGGTTCCCAACATGAGAGTGGTACCAGTAAGACCCTCCAAAACGAGGCTGGAACGTGTAATTAAAGGATTGACCTGGCATTATTGGGCATTGTGAAACAAATGCAACACCATCCATAGCTGGATGTTTAAGCTGATCTATGCCGTGCCAATGAATAGTAACAGCCTCATTGATCAAAAGGTTATTTACAATCACTGTGATAGTTTGATTTTGATAAATGAAAATAGATGGCCCTGGCATGGTTCCATTGGCAGTAATAAGGTTTCTGGTCAGATTCCAACCATCAGCAGATATAATGTTATCTATTGGAACTGGACCGTTTTCCTTAGGCGAGAACAGTTGTCGTTCCTTTGCATACACTTGGCCAAATTCATTCCCATTCATCGTAAACGCAGTCTTTATATCGATAGATGTAAAGCAGTGGTCAGCGCTCTTGTCACAATGAAATCCAACGGTGAAGCCAAAAAATCCATAAAAAGCAAAAAGAAAAGTATTCGGCATCTGCAAATATTTGAAATATGAATTAAAATGATAAAAATTCACTCCGCATACAGATATTTTGTTGATTGATTGTTAGTTGCTTAACGTCCAGTGGCAAATATTTCATGCATATTCAGGACGAGAACAAATTAACAATAAATACAATTGGTAGGTTCTGTAATAGAGGTGTCCGGGATTAAGGTCGGAGAAATTTAGACTACCACGGGAAATGAGGGCACATTGGATAGGAACAGAAATTTAGCCTTGCAAAAGGTCACCTACGGACCCCTCAAAGAGTTGTTGCAAGGGTTCTTAACGTGCAAAGAGCGTGGCACACTCTACACGAGGCATCGGATTTAACGTCCCCATTCTGACCGGACGCGTGGCTTCAAATTTGTGCATTCCGCACAGCCAAAATGGACGCCTCACTTTGGCGAGGGTTTTTACTGCCGGTCGGAGGAAGACCAATGGTGACCATACTTCTTTTCCCCAGTCACCCTTTGGGGGACAGATATTTTTATGTTCGCTGTTATTAAATTATGGTGAAATAGCAAATTATAGCTTATCTTTCATGTAACTAGAAGAAAAACAAGCATTCTGTGAGTATTGCATGGCAAAACAAAGTCCCCTACCAGTTAAAAATTCATTGTATTGGAACAACATTCTAACTTGATCTATAACTTGTCATGGTGTAAACTATATATAACAAATATCAAGTCAATATCTTCAAGCATGACGAAAAAAAGTGTTGAAAACTGATTATTTAAGTGAATTTTCTAAGTCCAAGGACCATAACTCTGCACAAAATCATTAGACCGGAACAAAATTCGAACTTGATCTGGAACTTGTCATGATAAAACTATATACCAATTTTCAAATCAATATCTTCAAGCATGACGAAAAAAGTGCGGAAAACTGATTATTTGAGTGAATTCTAAGTCAAAGGCCCATAATTCTGCACAAAATCATCAGACCGGAACAAAACTCAAACTTGAACTGTAACTTGTCATGATAAAACTATATACCAATTTTTAAATCAATATCTTCAAGAATGACAAAAAAATTGCGGAAAACTAATTATTTTAGTGAATTTTCTAAGTCAAAGGACCATAACTCTGCACAAAATCATCAGACCGGAACAAAATTCGAACTTGATTTGTAACTTGTCATGATAAAACAATACACAAAATATCAAATCAATATCTTCAAGCATGAAGAAAAAAAGTGTGGAAAACTGATTTGCCACAGACAGACAGACATACAGACGGACGGACGGACGGACGGAGTGCAAACCTTAAGTCCCCTCCGACTTCGTCGATAGGGGACTAATAAATGCAACAGTAGTATACAGCTGTTCAATAGTCATAAATCGATTTAACTGAAACAAATCCGGGTCACATGCAAACCAAAACCGACGGAAACCAACTATAAGAGGAAAACAACGGAACAACCTAAACACTGAACTGCTACAAAAACAAACGTCAACATACATAGAAACTTTTTTTCACACCGAGCACTCAATACTCGGAGGGTGCTGGGACATGTGATTGATGCCTAATGGAAAAAACAATACTAACAATGTCTCTTTTATATACAGAAACAATTCAACCTTTATACATTCACCTGCATATCAAAAGCTATGTTAGAATTTACTTATGGATAGACCAATAATTGGGATGGACTGCAAGCATTTTATTTCAATATGCGAACTACATTTTAACCCGATACCCGAAAGATGGGGCCTGTAAAATAAGAATAAGTACTTAATTCAGATATAATCAAATAAGAAATATTAAAATCAGAAGAATTTAATTAATCAACTTCTCTGTTAGAACAAAAAAACTCACTCTAGCCAAGGAAATGTATGTTGAAAGGTACATCCACAATAGATTCAAATAAAGTTACATAAGGATATTGTAAAATATATTGTTAAAAACCCCGAATTCATCCTGCCGTGAAGACAAGGAAAGATTTTGGGATGACTTTATACAAAAGGGAAATAATATATTTATGAATATCGTACAATTTATCTTTTGAGATAATAATTTATACCTAAGTATGTACTAACCTTGTTTGATTTGATTATCTCACTAACAGCTAACTTTTTTATTATGATTTTAAACATTTCAATAGCCACGAATTCTTGGAAAAATAACAGATTGATTTCCACGAACCGTTCCAAGTGATTTTCGTATGAATCAGTTGATTTATGATATATATGTAATTTTAAATATTCGTCCCTTTAATAAAAAACAATGCACTGCAATGCTCGAATGGACTAGTCTTTACATCTAATGTATTCTATGAGGACCGGGATGGGGTTTACAGAATAGAGAATAATGGTCAAAGGTGCAGAATAAAGAGAAAAATTAAGAATAAGAAAAAAATAAAGAATAGAGAGTAATGGGGTGCTGAAATATAAGAATATGAAATAATGGTCAAAATAAATAAAGAATAGAGAAAAATGGTCTTATAAGTTAAAACAATAGAGACCCTCGTGTAATAATTAACAATAAGGAGTTGACTGACAATTTCGACCATCGGACTTATTTGTAGATCTTGTCTTGCTGATCATTTTTGCACTTTAAAGTTTCTCTGTATCTATTATAGTTATCAAGATATTAGGTAATAAAATGCTCCGCAGGGCGCAGCTTGATACGACCGCAGAGGTCGAACCCTGAACAGTTGGGGCAAGTATGGACACAACATTCAACTTGATACAGCTTTGCATTTGGATTGTGATGAAATATTTGACACAGCATAGGTTTCTGACACAGAATGAATGTGGTCTAAGAACTTAGAAATTTTAAATTGGACATTCACCTATTATGGTCCAATATCCAAAATCTAAATACATGGTTAGATTCAGCATATCAAAGAACCCCAAGAATTCAATTTTTGATGAAATCAAACAAAAGTTTAATTTTGGACCTTTTTGACCTCAATGTGGACAAAGTTGATAACGGGGCCCAAAAATCAAAAATCTAAATACATGGTTAGATTCAGCATATCAACAAACCCCATATATTCAATTTTTGTTGAAATCAAACAAAGTTTAATTTTGGACCCCGATTTGGACCAACTTGAAAACTGGGCCCATAATCAAAAATCTAAATACATGTGTAGATTCAGCATATCAAAGAACCCTAAGAATTCAATTTTTGTTAAAATCAAACTAAGTTTAATTTTGGACCCTTTGGACCTTAATGTAGACCAATTTGAAAACGGAACCAAAAATTAAGAATCTAAATACACGGTTAGATTCGGCATATCAAAGAACCCCAATAATTCAATTTTTGATGAAATCAAACAAAGATTAATTTTGGACCCTTTGGACCTCAATGTGGACCAATTTAAAAACGGGGCCCAAAACCCAAAAACTTAATACACGGTTAGATTCAGCATATTAAAGAACCCCAAGAATTCACGAATAAAACCCCATTGAAATTGGTCAAGGAATAAGCAATTTATACGAAGTATCTTCTTTTGCACAATACTGTGCAATTAAATATTTCTTGCTATTGCGCAATACTGTACAATTGACAATTTCTTGCTATTGCGCAATATTGTGCTATTGGATATTTCTTGCTATTGCGCAATACTGTGCAATTGAAGATTTCTTGCTATTGCGCAATATTGTGCAATTGAAGATTTCTTGCTATTGTGCAATACTGTGCAATTGAAAATTTCTTGCTATTGCACAATACTTATTATATAATCATTTACACATCCTGTTTGGTGTGTATCTCCTACCATATCATTATTATTTGCTTTTAAATATAAATCAGAAATAACCAACTTAAAATGGAAAATTTTAAAAGAAAAAAAAAAGGAAAAAAAGAAAAAAAAGGAAAAAAAAAAAAAATCCCCCCCCCCAAATTTTTTGAACCCCCTTATGATTCATCACCCCCAAACTCAATCCCAGCCTTCCCTTTGTGGTATGGTACCTTGCAGTACAATTTCAGAGAGATCCATACACTTGAACACAAGTTATTGTCTGGAAACTAGAAAAATGTGTTTTTGGCCCCTTTTTGGCCCCAAATTCCTAAACGTTTAAGGCAATTACCCCCAAACTCAAACCCAGCCTTCCCTTTGTGATATGGAACCTTGTAGTACAATTTCAGAAAGATCCATGCACTTACACACAAGTTATTGTCCTGAAACTAGAAAAATGCTTGTTTTTTGCCCCTTTTTGGCCCCTAATTCCTAAAATATTGAGGCAATTACCCCCATCATCAATCCCAGCCTTCCCTTTGTGGTATGGTACCTTGCAGTACAATTTCAGAGAGATCCATACACTTGAATACAAGTTATTGTCTGGAAACTAGAAAAATGCTTATTTTTGGCCCCCAATTTCTAAACGTTTCGGCAATTACCCCCAAACTCAATTCCAGCTTTCCCTTTGTGATATGGAACCTTGTAGTACAATTTCAGAAAGATCCATACACTTACACACAAGTTATTGTCATGAAACTAGAAAAATGCTTGTTTTTTGCCCCTTTTTTGGCCCCTAATTCCTAAAATTTTGAGGCAATTACCCCCAAAATCAATCCCAGCATTCCTTTTGTGATATGGAACCTTGTGGTACAATGTCAGAGAGATCCATACACTAACACACAAGTTATGTCTGGAAGTTACAAAAATGCTTATTTTTGGCCCCTAATTCCTTTACTGTTGGTACCATAACCCCCAAAATCAATCCCAACCTTCCTTTTGTGGTATTGAACCTTGTGGTAAAATTTCATAGAGATCCATTCACTTAAACTAAAGTTAGAGTGGGAAAACCAATGTGTCTTCGGACAACGCCGGACGACGACGACAATGACGCAAACGTCATACCAATATACGACCACAAAAATTTTTTTGCGGTCGTATAAAAATGAAAAAAAAATGGTAAAATTTGTCATTAAGGGCAATAACACCTATAAGAAGTCGTCTGACAGTTTTGATGTATATGAACAATTGGTAGAGTTCAACATTCTGAACATTTCTGCTCCTGTCAGATTTTCTCTATTTAGGGAGCTACCATTTGATTTTTATGGGGGGGCTAGGATGAAAAATTTTGTCCTGCCTTTTTATTCTTCCCTCTATTCGGTCCTGCCTTTTTTATTTTTCACTCTATTTGGTCCTGCCTTTTTTTTTTAGTTTATCCTGACTATTTTTTTACATAAATTGTCATCCTGCTTTTTTTTTTGGCAAATAATCTTATCCTGCCTTTTTTTTTACTCAAATCTCCTGTCCTGCCTATTTTTTTCAAATTTCATCCTAGCCCCCCCCCCCCCCATGAAAATCAAATGGTAGCTCCCTTATAACAGTTTTCAAAATAATAGACAAAACTTGCATTTTACCCCTATGTTCTATTTTTAGCCATGTAGGCCATCTTAATTGGCAGTCAGGGTCATCGGATACATTTTTTAAACTAGATACCCCAATGATGATTGTGGCCAAGTTTGTTTAAATTTGGTCCAGTAGTAACAGAGGAGAAGATTTTTGTAAAAGTTAACAGACGATGACAACGGACGACGGACGCCAATTGATGAGAAAAGCTCACTTGACCCTTTGGGCCAGGTGAGCTAAAAAAAAAGACATGCACACAGTGGTACTCATTGACACAAAACATAAACAATTAGGCACTATCAAAGCTATCTAAAATTTAACTCATTTGTGGCCTCAATTTTGGAACGAATTAACTCCGCAATGTCATATCAGAAATTTATAAAAAAAACTAAAGGGAGCTTATTTGATTGATATAAACAAGTCACCAAAGTTTCATGAAAACTACTCAAAGCATTTTTGAGTTATTGTCCAAAAAACTTGAAAATCCCCCTTTTTAGTCTCCACCGTCACTGAAGGGGGCATTAAGTGTTACCCTTGTCCGTCCGTACTTAAGTACGTCCCGAAATTGGTTTCCGTTCTCTATCTTCATAGTTTGCCTCAACCAAATGTTATGAAACTTGAACAGAATGCTTATGACCACAAAACACAGATCAGGTTTGATGAATTTGGGTGGCATCACTTTTACCATTATGCCCCTTTAAAACGTTATATGCAAGCGGGGGCATCATCTGTGTCTCATGGACACATTCTCCATCTATTTATGAATAAATTCCCAATATTCCAAAACGTAAAATCAGAATTTTTTGGAAAATCAAAAAGGGAACATTATGTCAATATATATATAAACAATTCACCGAAGTTTAATGAAAATTGTTCGAAGCATTTTTGAGTTATAGTGGTGTAAAAGCACAACACAAGACATGTCTGTGTTCATTGTTTGCTTAGCATCCAGCGCAAAACCTAATAATATATACATATAGGCCAAAATTGTAAGTCTATTTTTTTCAAGATCTCACCGCAGGGTATGTAAACAATAGAGTCTGTGTAAACAATCTAGAGGAGCTTTCATAGCCTGAATTGTGTACTACTTACTATATTTGCATAAAATTAATACAATGCAACAGGAATATTTTGTGTTGAATAGAAACTGTGTGAGCCAAAATCTTGTCTTGATGATCGTTTTTGGGTGACAGTTTCTGTTAACCTATTAAAGTTTTAAAGATATTATGCCAAAATGCCTTCACTAAATGGACGAAAAGTGTGATAAGGTGTTGACAGGCAATATCAGTCATTTAACTATTTGTAGATCTAGTCTTGCTTAGTAGTTTTGCTGTTTAACATTTTCTCTTAAAATATTATAGCCATAAATGCAACAAAAGATAAAAATCCCCATTTAAACATGTTAAAGACAATAACTTACTGTAAATTCAGAAATTATTGCGATGTATTTATTATTGCGAAAAATGCAATAATTTCTGAATTTACAGTATATAAGGAGTCAAAAAATGATTTTGGTTATTCTGACCTTATTGTAGATATTATCTTTCTGATTGTGTTTGCAGACAATGCTTTTCAAAGGTTCTCCCTTTAATTTCTACTTCTACTTTGTCCACCTTCTATAAGCTGAAGCTAATGTCATTGTATTGCTCATTGCTAAGTAGAACCATATTTACAGTAAAATTTTAAATGCTAAATCAAAATAAAAAATTTTCATAGTTTACTTTTATTACTAGAATTTTGTTTCTATATTATTAATAATTTTCCTGACTATAGGGGTAAGTTTAGACAGAGTTCCAAGTTTTAAATGTATGGATAATTATTACAAGTTATCAAATTTTTATTAATTTTCAGTAAAGACTTGCGGCTGTTGTCGATAGAAAAAAATTCCACCCCCCGATAGAAAAAGATAGCAATTTGTATTCAAAATTTTACTTTAAGTCAAAAGCAATGTTAACAATCAAAACATATCCTAAATTAACAGTACATTGTATATTCAAAAATATCCAGTCAAAAAAAATCAGGAAACAAACATACATTCATCTTCACTTTAAAATACATCAGAATAGTCTGTTTGCCAATTCCCGTAATTGACCCTGTAATTAGAGATCCCTTTTTTTAGTTGACTCCCTTAGGAGGGACATAAATTTTTATTGACAATGTAGAGCTAGCGGGAAAGTGCAAATTTATCTGTGCATAATGTGTGTAACCTTTAAGTTTTTCAAATCTTTTAATTACATTTAATTTGTTGTTAAATACTTTTGATAACAGAACTTATTTTTCACTAAAAATGTGTAAAAAATAAGATATATCTCTTTCAACTTATTATGCTTTGTGTGGGGGGCAAAAGACAATTTTGTCTGGTATAGAACCAGTCTACGATTGACAAAGGGAAGTGATTTGTTTAAAAAGTGTGTAATAACAGAACCAAATCGGTAATTGGCAAATGGACTGTTATATACTGATAATCATCATTCTTAAATCATCAATTACCCACAATAATCAGGTGGGTCCTTCATTTCTGTATTCTTTAACTTTTTAGGCCATTTTGTCTCTTCTTATTTTTTTTTTTCACCCATTATTTTCTATTCTTTGTATTTAAGCAACCCTTTAATCTCTTCTTTATTTTTTTGGCCTATTTTTCTCTATTCTTTATATTTTTTACCCGTTATTCTGCACTATATGCCCATGATTCTCTATTCTGTAAACCCTAAACAGACCATCTCTTATGACTGTACCAAGTCAGGAATATGACAGTTATGACGGTTGTTTTCCATTTGTTCCCCTGGTTGATATAGTCTTACATTTGATTTTGTCATGTTTTATGGACTTCCCCCTTTTTTAATTTATCTTCCAGTTTGGTATATTTGTTAATGAAAATAACACTAGAATATAGTTGCCAAATCTAAAATGTATTTCTATCCTTCAGTCTAATACTGATTTCCAATGTGTTTTTTTTCTTCCTACATACACATTTAATGATCAGAGTTAATAAAACTGATTAATTCAAAAATATGCAGAGCTTTTCTGTGCTGCTCAGTTTATATCTCTTTCTATTTACATAATCATCTATACATATCTATATAACAAATATAACAAAATATTACATGTTTTTCAATTTAACAATGTAAATAACAAAATTGAAATATATACAAATTTGTGAATAAAATTGAGAATGGAAATGGGAAATATGTCAAAGAGACAACAACCCAGCCAAAGAGCACACAACAGCCGAGAAAATCCCGCACCCGGAGGTGGTCCACAGCTGGCCCCTAAATAAAATTGCGTACTAGTTCAGTGAAAATGGACGTCACCCTAAACTCCAAAACATATAAATTTAAATGAACTAAAATTTAAAAACATACAAGACTAACAAAGGCCAGATGCTCCTGACTTGTGAATGCATAGTAACATGCATGAGTGAAAGAATGATATTTCTGTTCAACTGTCAAGATTCATTAAGCATATATATATTTTGATAAAATTTCACACCTACAAAAAAGGCATGTCTCTGCAATAACCAATTATATCTAGAAGGCAACATACAGTTTTTTAATGAACTTTTAACACAAAGATATGCCTTGCCTTTATGTTATTTTGATAGTTAAATGCAAATGTTGAAATTAAAATAGCACTACTTTAACATGTAAGTATATGTAAAGTCAACAGACCATGACTGAGGGGGAGGGTACAAATAATGGGTATGGAAATGAGATGTGCCAATGCTAATACAACTACATACCAAGTATCATTACATATATTGGTTCCCCATAAACTGACTCTAATCACAAACTAATACATGTAAACTAAGCAAAAATTTCAAAGTCAATAGACCATGACTGAGTGGGTGGGGCAAAATAATATCCATGGAAATGAGACGCCAGAAACAGCATACCTATATCTTGCTTTTTAATTCTGTCAAGGCGAAAAATTGACAGGTGTCTTACAATTTATATGTTAAACTCTAAACCTTCCAAAGTCTATGAAAGTTATGGATGATTTTAATAATAACAAATAACTTTCTGTTATTTACAACTAATATAATAGTATAATTAGTTGCCCAATTAAAGCTGACACTTAAAGTCAGCTGTGAAGTAAGTTCTTGCTTTGGAACTATAGAAAATATAAAAGATTGTTTTTAGTAAGCATAAAATACACTGATATTGAATCTTCCATTGAAAAAAAAATTTCTGATCAGATTAGAACCTATTGACATTTGACTTACATGAGGGTCTGGAAGGGGGTCCTTCATTTCTGTATTCTTTAATTTTTTAGACTATTTTTATCTATTCTTTACATTTTAGCACCTTGTTATTCTCTATTCTTTATATTTTTGGTCCATTCTTCTCTATTCTTTATATTTTTGGTCCATTCTTCTCTATTCTTTATATTTACCCATTATTCTCTTTTCTGTAACCCCCATCCACACCCTCTTACATATGATATGATTTTAACTATAAACTATGAAAATAATATTCAACTCTTACTAGAGAGAGAGAGAGTGACTAAAACTACAATTTATTGCACAGTTTTCAATGGTGTTTTTATAAGCAGTGTATTTTCCCCTGTTAGCATGGTAAGCAAGCAATCTATCAATGCAATATTAACAAATGCAAATAAACAAATCTTAAACAATAATATTGGTACAACAGACTACACCAACACAAGTCTGAGGGTCTGGATGGGGTTACAAGAATAATGAATAATGAGCTTATTCTGCAGAAAAATGGTAAAAAAAATAAAGAATAGAGAAAGATAGGCCCAAAAATATCAATAGAGAATAATTAGGTGCTAAAATAAAAATAAACTGTTTACACAGAGATATGTCTCGCCTATTTGTTATTTTGATAATGCAAATGTTGAATTTAAAATAGCAATACTTTAACATGTAAGTTCTGCAAATATTCAAAGTCAATGGACCATGACTGAAGTTACATGGCTAAACCATCTCCATAGAAATGAGATGAGCCAATGCTAATACAACTGCATACCAAATAACATTGACTTTTCATAAGTTGTTCCCTTTAAACAAAGCTAAACACAAACATTAACTTGTAAACTATGTAAAAGTCGATGAACCATAATGAGGGGGTGGGGTTATATAATCTCCATGGAAATGAAACTGGCAAATTCCAATACATTTGCATATCAAATATCATTAACTTAACATTAGAGTTTCATCTTTAACTGACCTAATCACAAACTAATACATGTAAACTAAGCAAAAGTTTCAAAGTCAATAGACCATGACTAAGGGGTAAGGACCAAATATTCATGGAAATGAGATGTGCTAATGCTTATACAACTGCTTACCAATTATCATTGACCTACAACTAACGGTTCCCCTTAAACTGACCTAATACTAACTAATACATGAAAACTAAGCAAAAGTTTCAAACTCAATAGAGCATGACTGAGGGGGCGGGGCCAAATAATCTCCCTGGAAATGATATATGCCAATGTTTATACAAATGCATACCAAATATCATTGACCTACCACTAGTGGTTCCCCATAAACTGACCTAATCACAAACTAATACATGTAAACTAAGCAAAGTTTCAAAGTCAATAGAGCATGACTGAGGTGGCGGGGCCAAATAATCTCCATGGTAATGAGATGTGCCAATGCTAATACAACTGCATACCAAATATCATTGACCTACCAATGGTTCACCATAAACTAGACCTAATCACAAACTAATACATTGTTGACGCCACCGGAAACAGCATACTTATGTCTCGCTTTTTGACTCCGTCAAGGCGAGACAAAAAAATGGAGAATAATGGGGGAAAATATAAAGAATGGAGAAAATTAAGCAAACAAATTAAAGACTACGGAAATGAAGGACCCCCATCGGACCCTCCAGTCTCCAAAGAAGAAGAAGACAAACAAGAATGGACAACTAATTATACTTTCATATAACATGTATAAACCAGTTTATGGCCTTACATCAGTTATACATAAGTCTAATTTTATCCCTCAAACCACTATCATTAGTCTGAATGGCCTCGACAGGTATGTCTACTTGCTGAGCATGTTGAATGACAAGTTTATCTTCAGACTGAACTGCTGCATGAGTTTTCTGTTCAAGCTTTTTGTTAAGCTCTAAATTATAACTTCTAGTTTCCGTCACTGTTTGTTGTCCTGGAATAGATGGATTATTTTGTAATACGTAATTATTTGAGTCAGCGACAATAGATATAGCTAGTAGCTCATCTGGGGTGTATCGACTCCGGTTAACAAAGGTGTCCTCCTGAACAGGCTTTTCATGGATTAAAAGATGTTTTCTCAATGTACGATTATGTATGAACTTTTTGGAACAATATGTACACTGGAACTGTTTATCATCATTGTGTATTTTCATGTGTGCTTTTAAGTTTCCATTTTCAGCAAAACGCTTGGCACAAATTTCACATCCAAATGGACGTTCTCCAGTATGAATTCTTACATGGCGACGGAAGCGCTCTTTTGTTGCTAGAAGTCTTCCGCAGTCTTTGCATTCATGCATTTTCCACCCACGACTTTTGGCGTATTCTATATGCATAGAAATGCAATGCTGTTGTAGGTTGTATTGGCTTTTAAATAGTTTTACACAGAGAGTACACTTATGTTTTTTCTCATCTGTGTGTCGTTTTCTGTGAGCAGCCAATCTTATACGGTGAGAGAAAGTTTTCCCACATACATCACACATGACATCAGGTTGAGATTTGTGGGTGATCTTATGCATGTCCAGCAGGTCCCAGCTTCTGAACTTTTTATCACACATGGTACAATGATAAGGATATTCACCAGTGTGTGTTCTTCTGTGGATCTGAGAAAGAAAGAAAAAATAAATAAAGGCATAATTAAATTTCAAAACTATAAGATGTTTGCAATTTTCAATACTGCAAATTCATAAATTATTGCGATTTTTGAAGAAAGAACAAAAAAGTGAGATTTATTATTGCGATTTTAAGGTAATCTGCATACACTTATGTGTATCAGATATCAGAATAAGAGTTCTTATTACTGCCATTATCACCCAGTCGCATTATTCGCAATAATGAAAACCTCGCAATAATTTCTGAATTTACAGTATAACTTTTGTCAGCTATATCTAATAGTCGTCAGATCTCAGCCGGCGCATGATAAAATAAATGGGGAATGTGTCCATGGGACACAGATGATGCCCCCACATGCATATAAAGTTGTAAAGGGACATAATTCAAGAACAGTAAAAGTGACGCTACCCAAATTCATACTTGATCTTAGTTTTGTGGTAATAAGCATTGTGTATAAGTTTCATAACATTTGGTTGAGGCAAGCTTAAGTTAGAGAACAGAAATGAAAAATTCAGCAAGTTTTCCATTTGTAAAGGGGCATAACTCTAGAACGTGAAAGTGATGAAACCAAAATTCAAACTTAATCTGTGTTTTGTGGTAATAATTCTTGTGTATAAGATTCATAACATTTGGTTGAGGCAAACTTAAGAGAACAGAAACGAAAAATTCAACAATTTTTCCTTTTGTAAAGGGGCATAACTCTAGAATGGTAAAAGTGACACCACCGAAATTCAAACCTGATCTGTGTGTTGTGGTAATAAGCATTGTGTATACTACGGCGGGGACATAAGAAATTTGAATAAAATGTACAAACAAACAAAATGAGATTACTGTATATAATTGAATAAATCTATTGGCTAATAAAAGATCATGTGGTGTAAGTTAATTCAAATATTTTTCGTCCAAATGGGCAGGGCCGGTGAATAACCTCAACAAATTGTACTGTCCAGTGAATAACCCTATTATTCACGTTCGATGAATAACGTTTTAACCCATTCTTTTTTTACGGGCCAAAATTGAATGCAAATACTTGTTCGGTATATTAAACAGTTACAGCCATCAGGAAAATAACCCTTAGCAGCTTTGACAATTTTGGATATCCCCTCCTCAGAGGGCCTTAATTGTATATTGTTACCTCAATTGACAATGTTTCTCAGGGTAACAATCTCATCTATCATTAAATAAAATTTAATGATAGAATGCATTATAAATGTGCTAAAATTTCAGGGAATTTAATGTCAAATGAATGTGTCATTTCAAAAACCATGGTATTATCACTAAAAAATACTAGAACACTTATCATGCTTATAAACCATTGATCAATTTGATTTACATGATATAAACATAATTAAGAGACAAATACAGTTCAGTTTAAAGTTCTTTTTACAAAATAAGATATATTACCATGATAATTTTGACAAACATTTTTGGGAGCGATCAACCCAGTGGTGTTACCACAACATATATATTTATAGTTATATATATAATTAACCCTGTAAAGCAAAGCCATAGATGAAAAATTTGAAATCCTATAATAATCATTCATCAAATTCAATACTGAACCATATGCATTAGGCCAGAAAATAATGTGTGTTTAGGGATTTCCTGACCAATCCCAATTTTGAGCTCCGATTCTTCATGTTCTTATGTTTTGAGTTTTTCTACAAATTTTTTTCACCTATCAGTGTTTGTAACCGCTAGCTTGTTTTATCTAAATAGACCACACAATTTAGCCAAACCACATTTATTTTTGAATTTTTTATAAATGAAAAATTGCTTATTTGGACTTCCAAATACTGTGGATTAATTTATTTTCGTGGGCACCAATTTTCGTGGATTCAGTAAAACTTCGTAAATATTTGATTTTGTGGTTTTGCCAAATTCTGCATATAAGCCTATATAAATTTGATATTCGATGAACATTTTAATTCGTGGTTTGTTTGTATCCACAAAATCCACGAAAATTGGTATCCAACGAATAATAATGAATCCAAAGTAATCAATATGTATAATAACTATATCAGATTTTGTGTTGAAACGATGTATTCCTGTTTTCAGGACATCAACCCGGTTAAGTTGTAAGAAGAAAACCTTATATGACTACATATCTTTTTTGGCCTTAGGGAGCTACCACTTGATTTTTATGGGGGGGGGGGGGGGGGGGGGGCAGAATGAAAAATTTTGTCCTGCATTGTTTTTAGTTGTTATCTCTGTCCTGCCTTTTTATTTTTAACTCTATTCGGCCCTGTCTTTTTTTTTATTAGTTTATCCGGACTTTTTTTACATAAATTGTCATCCTGCCTTTTTTTTTTTGCCAAGTTGCTGATCCTGTTTTTTTTTTTACTCAAAACTCCTGTTCTACCTTTTTTTTCAAATTTCATCGTAGCCCCCCAATAAAAATCAAATGGTAGCTCCCTTAGCTCTTTCTATTGTTATGCTTGATTAATCTCTTCACTTTAATACTCACCTTCAGCATTTTAGGATCCCTGTAACCCTTTCCACAAAACTCACACATGAAGTGATTTTTGTCAAAATGAGTGTAAGAGTGGATCTTCAGAGCAGAGTATGTAGCGAAACCTTTTCCACATTTCTCACAATGCTGAGGCTTCTCTTCATTTGGTAGGTGCACAAGGAGATGGCGCTTGTATGTCTCATCAGTTTTACAAACCTGTCCACAATGGACACAGGTGAAATTAGCCTTGTTATTGTGAAGTTTTACATGCCTAACTAAGGCATTTCCATGCTTGAACCTCTTTCCGCAAAATTTACATTTTTTATCGAAATTATTAAATTTCTGCTGAATCTGGCCTACTCCATCATAGGCTGTATTATTTTCATCTACACTGATGTCAGGCATGTCTGATGTAACCATGGTAACCTCAGAACACTCAGGTGTCAAATCAATTATCAAACTTGCTACTGTGTCTGTATCTGCAGCCTCGGCGGACATTTTCTCCTTGTCAACATCAACTGCTTGTATGTTGCTATGGTTACTTGCAGTTTCTACTGGTTCCATCTCTGAAGAAACATTTTCTTTCTCTAATAGTGGCATAGAGGAAGAACTCTCTTCAAAGGAAGTAGAATTGGTGGCGGGATCATCATCATCTGATGAATTTGAGTTAAAGTGAGTTTGTTCATGCTCCTCTAATTCCAAACTGTCAACAAAGTACAGACTACAGGTTACACAGAAATGGAAAGAATGTGCTTCTAACATGTGCTCCTTCAGTTTCAAATTTGTTTCTATTTTCTCTTGGCAAATGAAGCAGGAATGTTCGAATGTGTGTATCTTCTCATGTCGTTTCAACATTGAGGCATTCCCATACACGGCTTTACAGATTCTGCAAGTGAATCGAGCCGACTGATCGGCATGGTGAACAATAAAGTGTGTTTTCAGACCAAGCTTACTTTTATACTTCCTGTCACAGTCTGGACATTTGAAGAAGAAATCGTCTCCGTGAATTTCCTTTCTGTGCTTTTCCATTCTTTCGGCACCGTAAGGAATCATCATGTCACACACTTTACAGAGTTGGTGATCCTTGTGAGACCTTATGTGATTGTAGTAGCTAACAGAATTGTTATACTCATGGGAACAGAGACTACATGTATATTCAGTCCGATTTAAATATTTGGTTATCTCTTGCAAATCTGGGTGCATCTTGCTCAAACGCTCCTGCTCTTTAGACATAACCATTACTTTACTATTGTCAGACAAACTAGCATCTCTATCCAGAGATTTAACATCAGAATCGTGAGATGGGAAGTGAGTTTTCAACTGAAGTTTACTTTTGAATTTCTTGTTACATTTGGGACATTTGAAGAATAAATCATCACTATGGACCTCCTTTCGGTGTTTTTCCATGGTCTCGTAGCCAGATGGTATCATTACATCACAAACTTTGCAAAGCTGGTAGTTTCTGTGGTTCTTGACGTGGTTGTAATAGCTGAAAGAATTGCTAGACTCGTTTGAACATACTCCACAGATATATTCTTTCCGATTTAGGTATTCATTAAGATCTTCATTCGGTATTATGTTCATCTGTTCCTGCTTGTTTACTGCTGACTTTCTGGCCCTTGTAGAGCACATGTCTGTGAATTCATTGGTTAGTGTTTTGATCTGATCCTTCTTATTTACTGCTGTCTTCCTGGCCCTTATAGAAAAACTATTATTTACTTGCAATTCATTCTCTGCGTCATTCAAACTTTTTTCAATTCCATCCTTACTTCTTTTCCTTCTCTTTGAAACTGACAAATTCTCACAAATTTTGTCAACTCCTTCCCCATTCTTCAAAGTCCCATCCGACAAATTTTCAAGTTTAACTACACAGGATGTCAAGGATTTGGGAATTTTATCTTCAATTTGACCTCTTGACCTCTTCGGGCAATCTTTTATTTCAGACAAGTTGACCTTGGTAGAACCTCTGGTTCTGATATTATGCACTATTGGATTATTTTTATTGTTTGAAGTCTTTTTATGTCCTGTTTTTGAAGATTGTCTTAGTCTTGGAGAATTTCTGAATTTCAATATATCTGCACTCTTCTTTGTTTCTGTCACTTTCTCTGAGATTTTACCTGAAATACATAAGAAGAAAAATGATTCACTCTTTTTTGCCATGTCATTTTGTAACTTAAAAATAGATTCTACCTAAGAATTCTTTTTCTCATTTGGTCAACCTTGTTGGTTGTAATTTAAGTTCAGGACATGAATTAAACAAGAGGCTCTCAAGAGCCTGAATCGCTCACCTGTTATTTTTTGCTTAAATCTTTCATCAATGATTATTTTTGCTTTTTAATATATGTTAATGAGAGGCTTAAAAATTCCATTGAAATGTTCTTTGTATCTGTCATATTTTCTTCAAAAGCAAAGAAATACGTTTTACCCTTATGTTCCATTTTAGCCATAGTGGCTATGTTTCTTGGTGTACAAGAAAATAAAATACAAAATTTATACTAGATACTCTGAAACTCATTCAGCCCAAGTTTGGCTGAAATTGATTCAGCAGTTTCAAGGAGAAGATTTTTTAAAGTAAGCAAACTATACAACAAATTGTGAAAAATTTACTTTAAAGGGCAATAACTCCTCAAGGACACATTTGACAATTTGGGTCATATTAACTTATTTGTAGATCTTACTTTGCTGAACATTTTTGCTGTTCACAGTTTAACTTTATCATTAATAATATTCAAGATAATAACCAAAAACTGCAAAATTCCTTAAAATTACCAATTTAGTGGCAGCAACCCAACAATGGGTTATCAGATTCATCTGAAAATATCAGAGCTGATAGAACTTCACCTTATGAACACTTTTATCCCTGTCAGATTTGTTCTAACTCCTTTGGTTTTTTAGATACAAGCCAAAAACTGCATATTACCCCATTGTTCTATTTTTAGCCATGGTGGCCATGTTTTTTGACGAAACAGAAAATAAAACACAAACTTTATTATAGATACCCTAAGGATCATTCAGCTTAAGTTTGGTTGGAATTGGTTAAGTGGTTTCAGAGGAGAAGATTTTTTAAAGTTAGAAAACATGATAAACAAATTGTGTAAAATTGTCCTTAAAGGGCAATAACTCTTTAAGGGGTCAATTGACAATTTTGGTCATATTAAACTTATTTGTAGATCTTACTTTGCTGAACATATTTGCTGTTTACAGTTTATCTTTAACCCCCAAGGGTGACTGGGGAATAGAAGTATGGTCACCATTGGTCTTCCTCTGACCGGCAGTAAAACCCATGCTAAAGTGGGGCGTCCGTTTGGCTGTGTGGGATGTACAAATTTGCAGCCACGTCCGGTCAGAATGGGGACGTTAAATCTGATGCCTCGTGTAAAGAGAGTGCCACGCTCTATGCACGTTAAGAACCCTTGCAACAACTTTTTGAGGGGTCCGTAGGTGACCTGTTGCAAGGCTAAATTTCTGTCCCTATCCAATATACCCTCATTTCCCGTGGCAGTCTAAATTTCTCCAACCTTTATCCCGGACGCCCCTGTTACAGAACCTACCTAATGTATGTATTGTTAATTTGTTCTCGTCCTGAATATGCATGAAATATTTGCCACTGGACGTTAAGCAACCAACAATCAATCAATCAGTTTATCTTTATCATTAATACTATTCAAGATAATAACCAAAAACTGCAAAATTTCCTTAAAATTACCAATTTAGTGGCAGCAACCCAACAATGGGTTATAAGATCCATCTGAAAATTTCAGGGCTGATAGAACTTTACCTAATGAACACTTTTACACCATGTCAGATTTGCTCTAACTGCTTTGGTTTTTGAGATATAAGCCAAAAACTGCATTTTACCCCATTGTTCTATTTTTAGCCATGGTGGCCATGTTTTTTGACGAAACAGAAAATAAAACACAAACTTTATTATAGATACCCTAAGGATCATTCAGCTTAAGTTTGGTTGGAATTGGTTAAGTGGTTTCAGAGGAGAAGATTTTTTAAAGTTAGAAAACATGATAAACAAATTGTGTAAAATTGTCCTTAAAGGGCAATAACTCTTTAAGGGGTCAATTGACAATTTTGGTCATATTAAACTTATTTGTAGATCTTACTTTGCTGAACATATTTGCTGTTTACAGTTTATCTTTAACCCCCAAGGGTGACTGGGGAATAGAAGTATGGTCACCATTGGTCTTCCTCTGACCGGCAGTAAAACCCATGCTAAAGTGGGGCGTCCGTTTGGCTGTGTGGGATGTACAAATTTGCAGCCACGTCCGGTCAGAATGGGGACGTTAAATCTGATGCCTCGTGTAAAGAGAGTGCCACGCTCTATGCACGTTAAGAACCCTTGCAACAACTTTTTGAGGGGTCCGTAGGTGACCTGTTGCAAGGCTAAATTTCTGTCCCTATCCAATATACCCTCATTTCCCGTGGCAGTCTAAATTTCTCCGACCTTTATCCCGGACGCCCCTGTTACAGAACCTACCTAATGTATGTATTGTTAATTTGTTCTCGTCCTGAATATGCATGAAATATTTGCCACTGGACGTTAAGCAACCATCAATCAATCAATCAGTTTATCTTTATCATTAATACTATTCAAGATAATAACCAAAAACTGCAAAATGTCCTTAAAATTACCAATTTAGTGGCAGCAACCCAACAATGGGTTATAAGATTCATCTGAAAATTTCACGGCTGATAGAACTTTACCTAATGAACACTTTTACACCATGTCAGATTTGCTCTTACTGCTTTGGTGTTTGAGATATAAGCCAAAAACTGCATTTTACCCCTATGTTCTATTTTTAGCCATGGAGGCCATGTTTTTTTGACGAAACAGAAAATAAAACACAAACTTTATTCTAGATACCCTAAGGATCATTCAGCTTAAGTTTGGTTGGAATTGGTTCAGTAGTTTCAGAGGAGAAGATGTTTGAAATAGTTTGCACCAGACGGACGACGACAACGACGGACGCCAAGTGATGACTAAAGCTCACGGTGAGCTGTTAGGTATGAGACAAACATACAACAGACATTTCTTGTTAATTAGCACAATAAAAAATTGAAAATCATTTTTTGGAATTGGCCTTTTTTTTTTGTCTGTTCTGATATAGCTCTTCAACTGTTTTGGTTCTTATACATTCCCATCTTTCAAATATTTGGCTTTAAGTGTGAAGGTAAATCAAGAAAAGTCCTTCGTAGGCATGAAATTATTTCAGGTGTTGTTTTCAATTTTGATTACCTGTTTTCTGTCCAACTCTGATTCTGTCTACATAATACTAGGTAAAACATGCATATTATTAATTGTATTATTAAAAGCAGTTTGCTCCTCTTGTTTTTGAAATTTTGCCAGATATTCGGAATCCTCTAGTTTTATCCATGTAGTGCCATTCAAAAATTTTGCCTGCTAACCCTTACTTTTCTTTTCATAATTTTATTACATATAGTTTCAAAAGCCATATTTGAAAATCTTATAAAATCCTTGTTATTTTTTTCATAGTTTTTGAAAGAAAAAAGGTGCCAATGTTAAATGTATGAAAAATCTAGAGAGAATCATTTCCCGCCAAATGGCTTATATCTCGAAAACAAGCAAACAGACCTTCATTTTTTTCTGCTTATTTAGTTCCTTTATTTACATACTATCAATTTATAACAATCTTTTAAAAAGCTTGTTATTTTGAAAAAGAGTAGTGAACATCCTTAGGGCTATTCCATTAAAAAGAATGTACCAGGGTCAGACGGCAATTATAAAAAATCCCGTTGGTTGTTGATGTGTTGAAGCGTTTATGGCCAGTGGCCCTTGGTGTTTAGAGAAACTAAGTATTGTTGGTTGTTGGTCTTCTTTGACAGTCAGTTTTCATGAATGTCGGTTTCATTGTGTTATTTTTCGTTATTTATTATTATTTGTTTTTGCAAGGACTTAAATAACCGATTGTTTTTGTCTCCTGCTCATATCGTGATATTTTAGAAAACATAACTGTTCCCGCGACTTAGGCAGCGGCAAGCGCAACGTTGTATTCTACCTATGGTACCAGTTCCGGAAGTGCAAGAGTTACTTCCCTTTAATGACAAGCACATGACGAACGATGTCAAATTCTAATGAAAATAATATTCGGAGGTTCAAATTATCGGAGTTCCGCGACCTTCCACTATTGCAATCGGACTTTCGTTTTGATTACTAGCTTGGCCCAACGGACCTTCGATTTGAAAGAAAAAATAAAAATTTACTTTGCCGACCTTTTTAACCATCAGTATGGTCATTTTAAAGCCATATTACTATTGAGATCGTATACCCCTCCAGGGATTTTTCTAGTATTCCACAGGGTCCAAATACTGGACCCATTCCTATTGGCAATGACAAATACCCTACGTTTTTCTTAATTTTCAATTTGGGACCAAAACTTCCAAACGATCTCAAAATTTATTTTTATCTTTATTATTCATGACAGCGATGCTAATTTTGTTCAACCGCTAGCTTTATACTGAAACAATCGCCAACAAGTAATTAAATACGAGTAAAATCGTATCTGACTGACAAAAACAACATTGAAAAACAATGGATGCCATAAACCGGAAATGAAGAAGATTACAATACCGGATCATATTCCAGGTCGGATAAGGGTAATTCCGGGTTTGCTAATCAAGTACAATAAAAAAAATTATAATTCCAGGCAGGTGACAAAATACATCTATGATGATGAAATTTAAACACTAGTATTGAAAACCAAAAGATATATGGAAATGAAAGAAAAAGCATGAAATATTTTTTACAGAAACTCAAGATAACTTTTAGTTCACAAATTTTCATGTCAAAATCAAATAAAATGTGACAGTAATTTTCTTTATCATTAATAAATGTTGATATTTCATGTAGATATTTTTATAGAGTATACATATATCTACAATTCCAAGAGGTAATTTCTTCTCAATTTTGAAGGACCAGTAAAAAATAAGTTAGATATATTCCAGTTGGTTCTTGTATTATCATGAAATGACTTCCTGTTGGTTGGTGTTAAGATACATGGTACATTCCTCTTGGTCATGGGGGTACTTAAAAATTGCCTTCCGACCCTAGTACCTCCTTTTTAATGGAATAGCCCTTAAGATCTTGTCATGCTGGACATTTTTTCCTAAAAAGTTTCTCTCAATCTTTTATAATATTCACAAAAAGGAAAAAAAATAGAAAAAACTGTCATATAAAGGTAATAACTCTTAAAGTTTGTTGAAAAAGACAGTAGGTCAAACTTAACTTTTAAAAAAAAATTCTGCCCCAAACAGATGGGATTACTCTAATCCAATGGCATTTTTGTCATAAGCATGACAAACAAACATCATCTTTTTAAAAATATTCTATTACCCTAGCCATACTTTATCATTACCTGTTGCAGAGCTCTGACTTGAAGGATTAATCACATTGGTATCAGTATCAAAATCATCATTGACAGTATAATCATCTGTGTCATCATCTTCAACATCATTCCCACACTCCATCTCATTCTGAAAATTTAAAATTAAAATAAATTTAATTTTAATGTTAATATCATTTAGAAGTTTTCCTTTTTATTTTACTTATTCCAGAAGTTCTAGAATGTCTTTTTTATTAACAAAGAAAAAAAACATAGGCAACAAATATACTTTAGATTGTTGAAAAATTTCTGCCTGACAGTCACAGGATAAGTTTTTCTGCTTTTATTATTTTGTACAATTTTTTTTTCATTTTGTAATTTTGTTTGTATTTTTTTTAAATTATAAAGCATATATATATATGACATTTCTGGATAAGTTTAATTATTACATTAGTTGCAATGAATTACATTGATTTCCCAGTGAAATAAAAACCGATAATTTCACTCCTCTGACGTCATACAACAATAGGCGTTGTCATGAAGTCGGATCAAAACAAATTGTGAATGCATAGAAAAAAATATAATTCCTTTCATTTTTTATTTAATGTCAGAAAAAAAACATTTGCCAATGTAATAAAAAGAACTAATCAAAGAACTCAAATATCTAAAAATATTCAACTCGTGACTGAACAACACTGATAATTAACTCATGTGATACACGCATTCGTGAATTATGTGTTGCGGTCACTCGTTGAATATTTATCTCTATTTGAATTCTTCGATTAGTTATTCTATAAATTTTGCTTGAAAACTTTCATTGACTATTGGCTGTCAAATGTCTTTTCAAAAGTATAACATACATTTTCTTGATAACATATGTCAATTTGAAAATACCCTGTCCTGCACAAGACCAACAAGCTGTGCTTTAAGTTTGATCGCTACTCTTGTTTTTGAATTTTTGTCAGATATTTGGAATCAGTGCTCAGAACTAATATTATAAAGAATTCTATTCCATAAAAATTTATTTAAAAAATTTCAGCAAAAACAATCACCAAAAGTTCTATTAATAAACTGTTATCACAGAGATATATCTCGCTTTTTTGTAATTTTGATTTTGCAAATGTTGAAATTAAAATGGCAATACTTAACAAGTTAGGCTAATATTCAAAGTCAATGAACCATGAATGAGGTACAATGGCTAAACCATCCCCATGTAAATGAGATGCGCCAATGCTAATACAACTGCATACCAAATATTATTGACTTATTATAAGTTGTTCCCTTTAAAGAAACCTTAACACAAACATAACTTGTAAACTATGTAAAAGTTTCAAAGTCAATGAACCATGAAGAGGGGGTGGAGCTATATAATCTCCATGGAAACGATACTTACAAATGCCAATAAATTTGCATACCAAATATCATTGACTTAACATTAGCAGTTCATCTTAAACTGATCTTATCACAAACTAATACATGTAAATTAAGCAAAAGTTTCAAAGTCAATAGGCCATGACTGAGGGGATGGGGCCAAATATTCTCCATTAAAATGAGATGTGCTAATGCTTATACAACTGAATACCAATTAACATTGGCCTACCACTAATGGTTCCCCTTGAACTGACCTAATCACAAACTAATACATGTAAAATAAGCAAAACTTTCAAAGTCAATAGACCATGACTGAGGGGGCAGGGCCAAATAATCTCCATGGAAATGAGATGTGCCAATGCTCATACAACTGCATACCAAATATCATTGACCTACCACTAATGGTTCCCAATAAACTGACCTAATCACAAACTAATACATGTAAAATAAGCAAAAGTTTCAAAGTCAATAGACCATGACTGAGGGGGCAGGGCCAAATAATCTCCATGGAAATGAGATGTGCCAATGCTCATACAACTGCATACCAAATATGATTGACCTACAACTTGTGGTTCACCCCAAACTAGACCTAATCCCAAACTAATACATTGTTGACGCCGCCGCCGTCGCCAACGCCGGAAACAGCATACCTATGTCTACAGAGAAAAAAGTGATTTTTCAAGAGTCAAACCTGTGCTTTATACACTGCATGTAATATGCATTAGATACAAGTTGATTTCTTGGAAAATTAAAAAAGTCAAACTAATGTCAGTTATTTTCACTTTTACAGTTTTATAAAATTTTCAAATATGATGATCTCCTGCCATTTGATAAACAGACCAGAGAGAATCTCATAGATGAATATGAATTCATTTGTAATTGATGATTATCTTGAAATTTCTGGCTTATTTTCCTTCTTCTAAAAATCAAAAGTAGTGTGGTAGATTTTTGTTAAATTTACTGTTTAAAGTCATCAAAATCATTTCAATATTAAATTATTGTATTCCATAAATTTTTCTTACCGGTAAATGTTTTTTGAAATCTGTAAAAGCGAGCCGAAAGGTACTAAACGGATATTCGAACACATAAGTCGAAAATAAACTGACAATGCCATGGCTAAAAAAAAAAAAGACAGACAAACAGACAAACAGAAAAACAAAAGTACACAAAAAACAACACAGAAAACTAAAGACTAAGAAATTTTATGAAGTTTATGTGTTGATAACCTCAATACAACTGCATGAATTTCAATTTTTCTAGTAAAGGACCCAAACTTTCAAGTAAAATTTCACAAAATGAAAGAAACTGTGTGTAATTTTTTTATCGTTTAACTCAACAATTATAAACCAATTTATAATATTTAGACATAATCATATACGTTCACCAACAATCATAATGACATTTCTAAACAAGATTATTGGTTTTTAACTGAATCACCCTGGGTGCACTGTATACATACTGTATCAGACATTGTATCTGTCCTTTCTTGTCCATTAAGAGTAGTTACTAAATGGTCTGTCTCTTTGCCAACAAAGGCAACTATGGACTTATTTACATTTTCTGTATCTGTCCTTTCTTGTCCATCACCAATAGTTACTAAGTTGTCTGAATCTTGGCCAACAAAGACATCCATGGACCCATTTGCATTATCCGAATTTGTACTTTCTTGTTTGCTTTTGAGCGTCAGTAGTTGGTCTTCAGTTTGATCATGGGAAGTAATCACAGAACCAACTGTATTTTCTGTATTGGGCATTTTATCATTTTTTGTTCTTTCATTTCCCCTATTGGATATCAACTGTAACTGATCTAGTATTGGCTTATCTCCCTTTTTGGTACAGGCACTGGTCTGATAATAAGCTGAAAATAAAAAAACAATCCATTCAAAGAATAACCGAAATAAAAAGTTCACATGTTGAATAGAACCAATGCAATTGATACTTAATACCATAAGCTTTATTACTACTATCACATAACAACAAAAGAGCCTGCATAAACTACAGTAAATTTTTCCAGCCCCTTCAAAATACAGTATATATAGTATGAAAAATGTGGTTGCTTATAATTAAGAGCTAAAATTGTACACTTGTCATGTAACAATAATGCCATACACATGTTGTCTTTGAAATATTTGACCTAAAATGGCCAAAAAATTTGGAGCAAATTAGAGTTTAACAAGGTTTTTAACCAAAAAGATGCATCTTACATGTACATTTGTACATTAACATGGTCAACATTTTTGTGTAAAACATGTTGTAGCAGAATACAATTTTGGGAAAGCTCACCACGTGGAACATGATAAACACTATTTAATTGTATCTCAAATAATGTTCAGCAGTACACATTTTAGAAATCTCAAACATAAACAATGTATTTTATATCAATGTGGACTTATCAAACCATTTCCTGTTAGGTTTATATTCACGGGAACCAATTTTCTTGGATTGAGAAAAACTTGCATTTTCATGCATATTCGATTTCGTGGTTTTGCCAAAGTCTGCATAGAACCTTATAGAAAATTAGGAATTTGTTGAACACTATATTTTGTGGTTCAGCTGTACCCACAAAACCAAGGAAATTGGTATCCAACAAATAATAATGAATCCACAGTAACTGAAAAGTGTAATATTGAGCTTACAACAGAAATCTTGAAACATAGAGGTCCATTTAGGATATTGAGTTATGAACTGTACACCAGCTTCAGTACACCAACTCTGGACATCATCACCATTTTCACCAACAGCCAGAAATATACATTGCTTTCCTTTGCTTTGAAATCTTTTTCCCTGGAATAAAAAAAATGGCATAATAGAACATGCCTTGACTATGCCTTTAGTGTTATGAATTAGGATGAATACATCTTTTTTTCAATATAAAGCTTGAAATACATGGAGAATGTAACCACAGGAGCAATGTGTATGTTTCATAATAGTTGGATGAGGCGAACTAAAGTAAAAGAGACTGAAAAAGGAAAATTTTTGCAATTTATCCATATAAATAAAGGTGGATAACTCCAGAATGATAGAAGTAATTGCACAGAATTCGAACTTGATAAGTTAACATGTGTTTTGTGGTAATGAGCATTGTGTATAAGTTTCATCCCATTTGGTAGAGGCTAACTTAAGTAAGAGTGTGGAAACAATAATGGGACTGACAGAAGGATGGATGGAAGGTTAAGGGTAACATAATCATAATAAAGGAGCATACAATTACTCATTGGGTATTTTAATGTTTTATTTTGTATTGTCAACATCATCATAACATGTTAAGTCGATGGAGCAAAAGTCAAATATGAAGGACGCCTCCGGGTGCGGGAGTTTCTCGCTGCATTGAAGACCCATTGGTGGCCTTCGGCTGTTGTCTGCTCTATGGTCGGGTTGTTGTCTCTTTGACACATTCCCCATTTCCATTTTCAATTTTACCTTTTGAACAGTAGTGTGTTTTTTAACATTCCTGTTTTTTTTGTTTTTATGAGGTACAAATTGTTTTGTTTGTTTATGTACATATTTGATGATGCTCCAACTGTAGGAGGATCATATATAGCACTGCAGGGGTTGACATTTTTACTGGTAAGCTCAGATAGAAAAGAGTCAAGTCGTATAAGATTTTTTAATTTTTTAAATCAACTGAAAATTATGGTTAACTTTTATTTTGCATCCTATCTAACTTGTCTAATTATATTAATATGTAATATTTGGTTTGCACAGATCGTTTGTATTTTTCCTTTTATGACTGAAATGTAAAATTTTATTTTATTTATATCTAAAAATCTCTAAATCATGTAAATATTGATCATACCAATTTTTCCACATCTTTCCACATTTCTTCGTCATCAGTCTTGGAAACATCCTGGTCCATGGTATCTTCGTAAAGTTACAAACAAATGACACCTATGAAATACATAAATATAAAAATAAGAAGATGTTATATGATTGGCAATGAGATAACTCTCTAGATACCAGATATCAACTGATGTAGATGTTAGCAACTGTAGGTCATCATATGGCCTTCAAAAATGAGCAAAACTATATAACTATTTCATTCTAACGGTATATCTAGTTAAAAAATGTCCAAGTTTAGTAGAAATCCAGGATATTTTTAGAAAGTTATTAAAATTTTAAAAACTTTAACCACAGAGTGAATGTTATAACTGTCAGAAAACCCAAGTCCATTTATAAGTAAATATAAAATATCATCTTAAACAAGCTTCTGTCCAAGTTGGTAGAAATACAGGATAGATTAAGAAAGTTATTAAAATTTCAACAACTTTAACCAGAGTGATTATTTGTGGCCGCCACACCTGACGACGCGAACTGAATATAGGATCAATCAGTCTCGCTTTTGCGACAAAAGTCGAAGCTCGACAAAAAGTATTTATTTGTCTTTTATTCTTGTTTGCAGTTTTTATTCATCACTGGATTGGTTAGCTTGTAGTTCAAACATATATTTAAGGATGGAGTCACAGCAAAACACCAAAATAGCCTTCCAAGACGTCATAACTTATATTTTGCCAGGTTAGCAAGCATGAGTGACTCCTTCAGACATGTCAGAGTGGGATCAGTGACAGTATGTCAGTGTGGTGACTTTTAAATTTTAAGAAAGGTGGGACGAGGTATCAGGAATTCTTAAGAGCAAAAGGCACGAAGAGATATAAAAAAAAATATTGTCTTTACTTTGAGGAAGCAAGCCTCGTTAAGCAGTGGTTACTGAATCCTCTATTCAAATAATTGTCAATACTTGGGAAACAGTCCAAACAAACGTAAGCGTCTGCATGACTTGGAATAACAATATTATAATATGATACCGGATCCGGAACGGGAACACTCGATTCGCATTCCCAGGATCTACTTTTCGAGTTAAAAAATGTTTAGCGGGACCAGAGACATATAATACATGTATTATATGTCTCTGGCGGGACACAAACTACGAGGTATAGAAAAAAAGATAAAATCTGATTTGTTTCAATCATTAATGAAAGTTAGATAGTGAAATAATTACTCTCTAAAATTAGCAGCTGGTTTGGTTCAATTTTGTCAAAATAAGTTAATAAACATTGCTGATGTATTATTAACTTGCAAGGGAATAATTCGACCTCATTGAGTCTATATTCATGTGAACTTCAATTAAACCCCTTGGCTAGAGATGGGGTACGCATGAATTAGGCGTGTTAATTTATTATAAGGAAAAGCTAGAATGTCACGTGCGGTCAATTAACATTGAAAGCGAAACAAGGGTATTTAAAACTATTTAATTGACTGATTCGATCCAGGAAAACTCTTTTTCTATACAGGTAAAAGCGATGATTAACATATACTTCAGCCTATGAAATCAGCAAACATACACAGAAAAATTCAATTGCACGGGTTCGCAATTTATTTATATCTATATATATATTTTTGTTTATATCTGGTTATATGACTGTCGACAGTCTTCGGAGGTCACCTCGATGGTTATTTAGATGGCGTCTAGACTAAAAAACACGGGAAATGCGGATACATATTATCGAGCCCATGCATTGTAAATTGTTTATTTAAGACTGTTTTGCGTGTACCCCTGAGGGTTCACGCAGTATATATTCAATTTGGACGACCTCTCATACCATATGAAATTTACTGACCCCATATATACCGTATTAGGTCACTAGAACACTATGCAACTAATAATATCCTATTCATTTGAACTCTAGTGGATCGTTTTCTCGTTGACAATCATACCACATCTCCTTATATTTTATTAATCTCATAAAAAATGCCATTTAACCCTGGGAATTTAGTCAAATTTGAAAGGCACCTTTTGGGATGTGTTAAATCAGGGACATCTCTGGTTTAAATGCAAATGTTCCGCCATATCGAAACAGTTAATTAATGAATATGCGTTTGAGTCCTTATATTTATTATTTAGATATAAAATTATTCACGTATACTGGGTGATACTCTTTTGCCTGAGGCGATTACTTTCTATTTACTTAAAACTTTTGGTCATTGCAATTAAATAAATGAGGTTTGATATATTCCTTGATGTTTGGCATCACAATTATCGTAAATTATTACCGACATGTAGATTTCGAGAATAAATTAGCAATTGTTTAGGTACTAGTAATACCAGGAAGATTCAGATTATTTACTAGTTATGATTATTTTTTCAAACTATAGATTCGTTTGTCTTTTTTGTGGGGGAAATGTGTGAGTTTTCCAAGGGACACCTGTGTCAACTACCATCTCCAATAAATACATTTAAATATGGCAAAGTCAATTTTTTTTTGGTGCATGTATATAGATATAAGAAGATGTGGTATGAGTGTCAATGCGACAACTCTCCATCCAAGTAACAATTTATAAAATCAAACCATGATTATAGGTCAAAATACGGTCTTCAACACGGAGCCTTGGCTCACATGTCACATGTTTATTAAACCCCTCCCCGTAATAAATAAGATTAAAAGTAAATGAGCAGGTGCACAACTTCATTTCCCATCTATCATTGCAAGTTTTTTGGAATTCCATCAATTCATTTTCGAGAAGTTGCGATAATCTGTATGCATAGGCCAAGCCATGATTAGATGGTACCGTTTTTTTGTTGTTGTTTATTTTACTTAATCGAATAACGGTATACCACTGTTGCCTTTATTCATACAACAAAAATAAGGCACAACAATGTATCTTTATTGAACAATTACTATGATCTTTCGTATCAAACAGGCATTTGGGTTCACGATTGCATTTCTTTTTTTAAAGGAAACAACTTGTTTTATAATTTGGATCTACGTTTTACACTGTGTCTAAACTACCCCGGCAAAAAATGTTTGGACTCGATGGTATCTAATATCCGGCACGGTGACGGAACATCAATAGACAGAGAAAAGGTAGTTTTCTGTTTATTTATTTGTTATTGTTATGATATCGAAGAATATTTATACATATATAACTGTTTTCTATTGTGAGATGTAATATTTTCTACAACCGTTCTAGATTAACGGAGAAATAAGTAAAAATGCACGTCAAAATGACGAATTGAGTGAACCTTGCCTCGAATTTGTTTAATTTCTCCTTAAATTGTTCACATGGTACGGAAAGAAAGGTACGGAAAGAAAGATATTGACATGGCGATTGCAAAACTAGTCACTTTGAGCACCTCAATACTTGTATTTCTGCGTATGGAACGAAAGAAATGGGTCATGTCAAAATGGAAGCACCCGGTTTTGTCAATGTGTACAACCCGGTTTTGTCCTAGATTTCACAAGGCAGAACCCGGTTTTGTCAACAAAAAAAATGCATATTCCATAATCGCATAACATAATTGAACTTCAGCAATTAAAAGGAGTTTGCCGGGTGGATGGTTATTTATTTGAATCTGTAAACACTTAATTCCTACTTTATTGGAACAAAAATAATTATAATTTTGCTTTGCATTAAAAAAAATAATACTCTAACTGCGAAAGAGATAGAAATGAAGATTAAACCGCAAATTGAGTTTTAAGCCCTCTAAACGTTTTTTTTATGAATTATGTAAATTTGAGTGTTTAAACTTAAAATTAGAGTTTATGGTCTTAAAAATTGAAGGACGCACATTTGATATGTGATTTTTTTTCACACTAGGATGGTTATCTTTATAAGTAATCCAATCTACCTAGGGGTATACTATTTCCTATGATCGTTTAAAAAAACTCTTCTTAAGGCTAAATGTTCATTATAAGGCATGATAATCAAACAAATGTATATATGCTTGCAGAATCGCCATAGAAAATGAATGTTTATGGTGACAAAAGGATTACAATAATCATGCATTAAAAATCAAATCTATCTATCCCTAATTGTAACTATAATACTAAAGTATAAATTAGTATTATAATAGTCTCAGGCCATCGAGAAAATGCAATAATGATAGTTTATTAATAGTTGTATAAATAAACGGTTCTGTTATCTCTCCATCGTGTTATGATTATCGTACATTGATGTTGGTCAAAATATTATTGACAATATATAGGGACGGATTCAGGTTTTTTCAAAGTGGGCGTAATTCAAACAGCTTACATACCGCAGAGTGTAGCAAAGCGAACAATGTTTTGGACGAATTGTGCTAAAAAAAAATCGTAAAAAAAAAGATATAATTTTTTTGGGCCATCAAAGGTGGGGTTGGGGCGTGTGACCTATACGCCGCCTGGATTCGCCACTGATGTTATAAACTAAATCGTATACCAACTTAAAATTTAACATGATATGAAATGAGGGACACCCGTGAAATTGGATGTATGTGAGAAGGATTATCATGTTTATTCTAAAAATTCATATTGATATTTCGGAATGCGAGACCAAGGGATGCAAATTCGTGGAGGCTTGAACTATTTGTATGAAGTTTCATATGTCAGAAGTTAGAAGGCCTGACTATATAAATAATACGTAGTACTTATTTTTTTTTTTAAAATCGCAATTGAAGTTGTTTTGACATGTCTGATTAGTTTATCTCGTTCGTGTAAGCCTTAATTATGAAATGTGAGACTTTTTTTTAATTTAAGAACGGTGCAATCTTGTTTGGAATTCTTGGTTGGTTTTAGCTCACCTGACCCCAAGGGAAAAGTGAGCTTTTTTCATCACTTGGCCCCCGTCGTCCGTCGTCTTCCGTTAATTTTTTACATAATCTTCTCCTCTGAAATTACTGGGCTACAATACATTTAACAAACCTTATCCACAATCTTATGTCGGTTTTAAAAGGTCTAACGAACTTATTTTTAACTGATTTCATCATCATTGGGGTATCTAGTTTAAAAAGTTTTTGATGACCCCCGCTTGTCAACAAAGATGACCGAAATGGCTTAAAATAGAACATAGGGGATGCAAGTTTTGTCTATTATTTGAAAACAGCTATAGATAGAGAAAATTTAACAGGGGCAGATATGTTCATAATGTTGAGCTCTACCTTTTGTCTATACACATCAAAACTCTCACACGAATTCTTATAGAAGTTACTGTCCTTGAATGACAAATTTCTCCTTTTTTCCATTTCTGTCTATTATCTTGAAACATATAAAAGTTATATAGCAAAAATGATCAGCAAGACAATATATACGAATAAGTCGACTTGGTCGATACCCTTGTAAGAATTATTGACCTTTAATTACGATGTTTACCATTTCTTTGCGTTTTTGCCAATTATCTTACAAAAATCTTCTCCTCTTTAACAATTTAATTAAACTTGGCCACACGCTTTATTGAGTTATCTGGTTTGGAAACCCACATGATCAGCGATTTGTAAATTAATTTTTTCTCGTTTCAGGGTACCAGTGTTAACGTTGTTTTTCATAAAATAAACAAAACCGGGTTCTATACATAGACAAAACCGGGTCATTGTGTAGAAAACAACATTGACAAAACCGGGTGCTTCCATTTTGACATGACCTTTTTCTTTCGTTTCATACGCAGAAATACAAGGATTGAGGTGCTCAAAGTGACTAGTTTTGCAATCTCCATGTCAATATCTTTCTTTCCGTACATTTCTTTCCGTACCATGTGAACAATTTAAGGAGAAATTAAACAAATTCGAGGCAAGGTTCACCAAATTCGTCATTTTGGCGTGCATTTTTACTTATTTCTCCGTTAATCTAGAACGGTTGTAGAAAATATTACATCTCACAATAGAAAATAGTTATATATGTATATATTTTCTTCGATATCATAAAAATAACAAATAAATAAACAGAAAACTACCTTTTTTCTGTCTATTGATGTTCCGTCACCGTGCCGGATATTAGATACCATCGAGTCCAAACA